TCAGGTTAGCAGCTGAGGACCTTAACACTGCTCCGCCGCGGCGGACTGAGAACAGACGCGAATGCGCCGCCGGAACTTCTTGCCTGGAAAACGTACACTTCCTCGTCGTGAAGCTGTCTTTTACTTCGAGTAAGAGCTCGCCAGCCGGCGCCAGCGCTTCCCACGATGACAGCCGAGGCAAGACGAGGGGTTCCCGTTTATAAGAAGCTCGCGCGCGTAGACACCATTCGATGCTGTACGCCCTTTCCTACGCTCCCTTTCCCTCACCTGTAGGGCGCCCCGCGTGTTACTGCTGCCCCACTCCTCTTTGCCCTCGTTTCTTCAGCGATGCCATAGCAAGGCCGCCGCGGGAGGGGCTTGCTCCGAATGGATACTTGGTTGGGTTAAGTGGTACAATCACGCCGTTAATGTGGGTGGCGACTGCCACACAATAAATGCTCCGGATGACGCGTTGTAACTAATGCTACAGATATTAATATATCAATACCCTGTGAATGTTTTTACATACCTGATCAAATGCGAAAATTTGCCGTTGGTGCCATGGGCGTCCAAACGAGCGATGGAAAAATCATCATTTGACGATGCCCCCATCCTGACGTCAGAGGTCGCCGAAATTTGTGACGTTGTCATCGCGTCACTATGATGTCACAACACATGACATCATAATGACGCAATTCATCCTGCGACAACGTCGCTTGGTTGAATGTGGGCCGGCACTGAATCTGTGCAGAATGGAGTTATTTCGAAACAGCGATATGCTAGTGAGAGACGCCGTCGTGAAGCGCTCCATCAAATTTCGACCACGTGGGCTTTTTTAACGTTTGAGTCTGAGTTTCTTTATTTAACCACTTGACAAATTGATGAAGAACACATTGTCTATGTAGTTTGGTGCGAAAAAAAAAAGCGGCATGTCACAGCTTTACTGGGCCCTTCACCCGGTGTAAAAAAAAAATTCTATGTTACGCATGTGGCTCATGGTGGCTAACGTTCACATATAGATCTAAGCACAAGGGCGACAAACACTTTCACTCTATCGAGAATGTGGCCTCCAAGGCCGCGATTCGATCCCGCGACCTTCGGTTCAGTGGTCGGACGCTATGACTACTGGACAGACTATCATGACGGGTAATGCATGACTGATTAAGTGATTCTTCGTTCCCTCCTTCCATGCAGCAATACCATTTTTCAACTTTTACCTAATAGTCTAAACAGTGCAAAACTAAAAAAAAAAAAGGTGGTACACACAGTGAGGAAGACTGACCGAAAACAGCGCTGCGTCTGCTGGTCTTCCTGGTTCTTTCGTATTACCTCCCCCCCCCTTTTTTTTTTGTTTGCGCTGTTTAGATCTGTCTTATTAAGCACGGATCTGCACGCCAAGTTTTAATCGTTCAGCAGGTCGGTCAGCTCGAGTCTTCCATCGTTAATTTTTTGCCCCGCCACGGTGGTCTAGTGGCTAAGGTACTCGGCTTCTGACCCGCAGGTCGCGGGATCAAATTCCGGCTGTGGCGGCTGCATTTCCGATGGAGACGGAAACGGTGTAGGCCCGTGTACTCAGATTTGGGTGCACGTTAAAGAACCCCCAGATGGTCGAAATTTCCGGAGCCCTCCACTACGGCGTCTCTCATAATCATACGGTGGTTTTGGGACATTAAACCCCCAAAAATCAATCCAATCCATTGTTTATTTCTCCTTCTTGGTCCCTTGGCCCATCCTTTCTGAACGCGAAATGGCTGCCTCCGCCTGTGTAAGAAGCACATCCCCGTTATTCCGGGGGCAGCGCGACGGGCGGCAACTTTTTCAGCTGGCATACCAACACCCCGAGTTTGGGCGCGCTGACTTGCCTGGCTACTTTCCACCCTCCTCCCCTCCACGCACTAGGCGGCCAGGGTTTGCGGGTGCGTACGTGACGTATCGATATGCATCTCACAAGAGGAGGCGAAGCCCGACGCGAGGCGGCAGCTTGCTCGCTCGTTTCAGTAGGAAGGGCTTCCCGAAACAAATGACTGGCTGCATCGAGCGGAGTGTGCGTGGCACCGTTCTCGCGCTAAAGGCGAACAGGCGCCGGTTACGTAGACCCGACGCGGTGGCCCTTCTCTGAATTTATTCGTTTCGTACTCTCGCTCTCGACGTAATTACGCACCCTGGCTGCGGCGGCTAGACGACAGCCAAGAAGGACGAATTACAAGGGGGGACGAAAAACAAAAACAAAATAAAAAATAACGAAATAACGAAGCGGAAATGAAGTCAAACAGCGAAAGCCGCGAAATGTGCTGATGTGTGTGGTTCGCAAATCGCTTTCTGCCAAGGGTGGACTTTTTTGCGCGCCAGCCACATTGAAGGAGTTGTAGTGGGCAAACAAACACTTACACCATGTACAACCAACTGTCCCCTACTCTGGCTTCTTGTGATTTGTGGGGTTTAACATTCCAAAACCACCATACGATCACGAGAGACGCCGTAGCGGAGGGCTCCGGAAATTTCGACCTCCTGGGTTTCTTTAACGTGCACCCAAATCTGAGCACACGGGCCTACAACATTTGCGCTTCCGTCGGAAATGCAGCCACCACTACCCTGGCTTCTTGCAAAGGGGCGCCAACGTTCTGTTGAACATTTCATTTATCTTATTTTCAAATGCTGTGAATACCTGGAACGATTAATTAGAGGGAAGAGAGAGAAAGACAACCTGAATGAAACACGCAAGGTATACTTGAAGGAAAATGCGTGCATTCAGAGACGACGAAAGTAAGGCCACCAAACGGCGCTCCTGTAACTTTCGTGGTGTCTAAAATTGCGAATTTCGTTTCAAGATACTTCACACAACTCTCCCTCAAGGATTACGTCAAGAGAAATTAAGTTACGTTCACAACAAGAATATCCTCTCAATGGGAAGATATCTTGACAATCAGCGAGTATAATTATAGTTATACAAATACAATAATTTTAACGAGACTGCTTTGAATTTGTTCGACTAACTACCTGACTGAAAGAGAATAAATCAAAAAGTCTATATTTTTCACGAGCATGCCGCGCGTAGTGTTTACTCAGAACTCTGTGAGCCGAATATGTACCCTTCTCGGTTAGTCTGTGTTGTTTCATGATAAATATTTGATTTTCTGGCTTCTGATTTCTCAGTCCTGAACCTAATGTTTTTTACATGAAACATTCACACAGTACGCAGTTCCCTTCGTTACGCTCATTCCTCCTCCTGTATGATGCTGTCAAGGTTTACAGTATGATTACAATGGACAAATAATAAAACAGCTAGCCATGCCTTCAAAGGGAATAAGTTGTCGATACACGAGGGTCAACAAAGATTTAAAGGGACTGTCTACCGCTCGGAATTTTTTTTCTGATTGTGGCGCAAATGAAAAGATCGTTCATCACATCGGTGGCAACGAGCGTATTTTCGGGCCAGAAATAAGTAAATGTGATTTTTACTTGATGTTGAAAGTCGATAAAAAGTGACCACTAGCGTCACCCAACCGCGAATGTGGTCAATCTTGACAATCCTTTGGTAGGACAAGAAATCCTCGCAGGTAAACTTATTTTGCTTAAAAACAAACACGTTTAACTTGAAATTGTATTTTGTGCACTTGAGGCAGCTTTAGCTTGCGCCAGAGACCAATTCTTGCTTTTTTTTTTCTCACGTGCCTGGTGGCGCTGCCAGCAGCGTGTTCGCTTGTTTGCATGCCTGCCTGCAAACGGCGGAGAAATACGACCACGGCGTCCGCCACCGCTCATGAGAACAACAAAAAAAGTGTGTGTGTGTTTAAAACGACCACTAAGATATTTGTTCTATTAATAATTAAACTTGATGAAGCCTGCCAAAACCTCACGCGGTTTCAGTTCCCGACTTTCCCTGGCACCGACCAGTGTTGCGAACATTCATTTCACCGATGGAAGGAGACATAACGCGGACAGAGAAATTCTGTTGTAAAAATTTCTACGTACTTTCCAGAGAAACTGCTGCAAGGTTAGACACTTCACATGGTACGTTTTTTATCGTGACAAAAAATACGAGGGCAACGAAGGACGGTAGACAGTCTCTTTAAGTCAAGACAGACAGATCGGGGTTTCGTGTTACGTCAAGTCATAAGTTTGTCAGGCATTTGGTCCACCTCTTATGTCTATTGTAGACCAAATGCACCAAACGTATGTGGTCCATATGTATATCGCGCATTTGGCCCACTTGCCTTTTTTTTGTTCTTTGGAACGCAAATGTCGACTATCTGTACAACACATGCCTGTTAAGAAGTTTCCCGTCGCAAGCGCTCACAGCCGGGCACACACGCACGTGCATCCGCGAATAAAAAAAATCTATAAAAAAGAAGCTACGTCGTGGAAAGTACCCCAGACACATGTCTGGGTCGAGACCTCCAACGTGCCTAGAACGTGATGGAATCACTGCTTGCAATACTGCATATTTCTCTAACCTCCTCTTACGCAGGCAAGGTGTTCCCGCTATTAAAAGTACCACTGATCTAACACTGCACACCTCGCCGGAATACCCCTCTCTTCAGAGCAGTGTTCGACCTCCTTTCCACGCCCTGCATTTCTAGGCCGCCTCTGACCAGAAGGCCCTCCCCTCTTTCCCCGCGGCGGTGTCCCGTGGAAACGATAGGAACGTCACCGGTCCTCAGCGACCTTGGCCACGGGCACCGGACGTCGTCCGAGACTCGGTGCGGTCAGCGGTGTTCTGTATCGTCCGTCGCCTCCTCCGTCCCGACCGCGTGCGACACGCCCAAGGCGCCTTCGCTTTCCTTAGCGGAACCCCCTCTTCCGCTCGCGGTCCCTTGGCCGAGATCATTGGCTGCCGCACTGCGCCCGGTAGGCTTTAGGGTCAAGCGAGAGGAGAGAAGGTGCGGTGTGTATGGGGAAGGAAAGAGGAAGGGCGATAACCCACTCTCACTGACGGTCAGCCTAACTGACCCCCTCGTTCTCACCCGTGACGCGGAAAGGTGGCCGAAGTATATAAGGGCCCGACGGAAGCCGTTACAACTCACTGGTCTTCTCGGGTCCACGAGTAAAACAGCTCACAAGCCAACCATGAACGCCCTCGTAAGTATTTATACCTAAACCACTCGTGCAGAGGTTGGGACGGGTGCCGAAAGAAACATTCCGTTGCCGAATGGCGGGATGAGGAATATTGGTACGGTCTGTCCCGCAATAAGGGCGCCTGTTACTGTAACCCGTCCCGTGGAAGGACCGCTCGTAGTTTTTCGAGATTTAGGCTCACAATTATTACGCTGACAAAATGAAGTTACCCAACGCGGCTTGCATTTCAAACGGTAGGATTACGAAGAGAAAACCAAGAAAGCGGGGAGCAACGCCGAGCTTGCGAATGACAGCTATGTATAGGTGTGAACCACGCTCCCGATTGTCCTCACCTTCTAACCCGTCACCCACCCTGAATATTGACCACCAGATACTGTAACTGACGACGATACGACCACCTTGCTTACTTTGGTGACGGTTTGAATCTAAAGGCCTGGTAGTCAGCGAGATAAACGTGCCACAAGGTTTTAATTCCTTAATCTGACACTCAGTTACTGCAGTAGAGTTAAGGCCCTTTTTCCTCACAGTGTAGTATGTGCGTATAGTCTTTAATATAATATTTGTTGTGGCGTGCACTGTTTTCGTATTCCTGGAAGTGACCCTGGAAAGTTTATATGTTCATCACTACTACGGGCTGAACGGGAAACAACCACACACTACTTGAAGACCACCCAATTGGCAGCACAAACCACATCAATGTTTATAGGAAGTCTACTGCAGAGGAAGTCTACCGCAGAGTCTGCATGCAGAGGAAGTCTACTGTTGCGGAGCTTCTGGACTATTGTTTTCGCATTCTTATTACTGTGCTTTGTCCCTGTTCTACTGTGGTCATCCCAACAATCCATTTTCACAGGCCGTCGTCGCCCTTTGCGGACTCATCGCCGCCGCTAACGCCGGTGGCATCGGCCTCTTCGGCGGAGGCTACGGCCACGGTGGCTACGGCGGCTACGGCGGCTATGGTCTCGGCTACGGCGGCTATGGCTATGGTGGCCTCGGCTATGGTGCTGGTGTCGCTGTCGCTGCCGCCCCTGTCGCTGTTGCTGCCGCCCCCGTCGCTGCCGCCCCAGTCGCTGTCGCCGCCCCAGCTGTGGCCGCCGCTCCCGCTGTGGCCGTCGCCCGCCCATCTGCCGCCCTCGTCGGTTCCTCCTACGCCAGCCACGTTAACCACGGCGTGAGCTACACCGCCCGTGCTGTCGCTGCTCCCGTCGCCGTGGCTCGTCCCGCCGCTGCTGTCGCCGTCGCTGCTCCCGCTGTCGCTGCTCCCGTCGCTGTGGCGCGTCCCGCCGTTGCTGTCGCCGCTCCCGTCGCCGTGGCGCGTCCCGCTGTTGCCGTCGCTGCTCCCGCCGTCGCCGCCGTCGCTGCTCCCGCTGTCGCCGTCGGCTACGGAGCCGGCTACGGCCTTGGCTACGGCTATGGAGCCGGTTACGGAGCTGGTTACGGAGCCGGCTACGGCCTTGCCTACGGACACGGACTCGGCTATGGCCTTGGCTACGGACACGGACTCGGCTACGGCGTTGGCCTCGCCGTCAAGAAGTACTAAGCGGTACGTTCGCGCCCTGATTCGAATATGAGCAGATATTCTTGTTAGAATAGAATTCTGCCGTGCTGTAGAATTGAACATGCTGGCAACTGCGGTCGATACGTTATGCTGCAGCTCTCTTGCTGGGCAAGACAAGAAAGAAAGAGAGGCAGTTGAGAACCAAGGAAAAGGAAGGGATGTTAATGAAACCCGCACGATTTGCTTCTCCGTGGGTGGTAAAGAGGGGTATGTGATGACCAAAAGCATTGAGTATTTGTATTAGTGTAGCGATGATGTAGCTCATCGAAGTGATAGATAGCTAAGAATAAATCGCGAAGTGTTGTGACCGCTTCTACGTAAACCAGGCAGCAGAATTTCAACGAGTACCGAGATGGCCAATGTTAAGATTCCACAGTGGCCTTAGTTAAAGCGCTAATGGCGTCTTGGCTATCTTAGCCGAGATTTTGTAGGGAGTTGTGTTACTAAGCTCAAATGACTAATGCATTTCTTTTCCCGATTTTCGTTACAGGTACAACATCACTTAGGAAACAAATACTGAATGAATGGTCCCGCCAGAAGACCGATCTTCGGGACGAGGACTGCAAGCAAGTCCGGCCTGCATTGGGCTACGCAGTCAGCCCAGAGTCATTGGTTGTTGTCGTTAATAAAATGTTTAAGTTATTGAAAACAAACAAATGCTTCGCCATTTTGCACTTTCAAGGGGAGAGGGGAGGTATATAAAAGCATGGAAAGTCATCGTGGCGACAACCACTTGTATTCTGCGCAGGCCAAACAAGCTGTGGGCACAATATCTGCTTGTTTCGCTTATCCGGAAATGGGCTTCATGAAAGTGATCATTCGGGGCCACTTCATACATGTGCACGTTATCATTCATAAGGCTTTCTTTACTTTAGTCTCCCTTGAACTCCAGCTGACTACAGCAGGGAGTTCAGTGGCTTTGTACATCTCTTCTTGTTTTCCTTCTTTGTTTTCACGGCTTGTGTATATCCTCGCTTTGCTTGCAACAAAGCCTTGATAATAAACAAAAGCTTCTGAGAACCTTGCACTAAAGTGTGCTGTTTGGTTTCAACGAGGTCAAAGAATAAAAATACAACGGAAATAAATGCGGTTTTCATAAAATGCATCTTGAAACAAGTTGACCGTCCAGATATTGGTAAACACTTGCGAACACGGTTGACGAGATAAATTAGTTTGCAGCTCTAAATACGATCAGTCGGCTTAACATGAAAACACTTTGTTGTTTCTGTGCTTTCGTAATAGTCCCTGATGGCCAACCCGTAAAGAACGTTTTGCCTCGCAAATGGGCAATTGCTTTTTACACTGGCTTTCTCTCACAACTCAGCGGTAATAAGTGAAGCTCGCTTTACAGGCGTTGGCTAAAGGAGCGGGATGCAGTGTTGCCGGAGATAAATACAAGATTATTAATTATTGGCTTTCTTTATGACACCTACTGACAATAACATAGGCACAGGGTGGGAAAATTGGTCCGTGCCTTCACAGCCTTCCCACTAATTTTTTTTCTGTGGGAGGCAGAGCAGGAAATGGCCCTCGATCACGCTTACAAGCCTGAACCCCATGCCGAACTGGGAACGTTCCCCCTCCGCCCCTTCGCAAAAAAAAAAAAAAAATGTCTGCCTACGCCCCTACCTATGGAGGATCATATCAACAAAACTGCGAATAAATTAGTTTCATATATTGACTGTGCGGTATTGTAGCTGCATTTGCTGCGGGAACTGCTTGAATTTAAGGCACTGTATGGCTTGCTTTTATCGTGTATGTTCAATGATGGTGTGGGTATATTGCATCTTGGTGTTCTGCGCGTGAGATAAATAAATTTATTATTGGACGTCTATTGTCTGAATATTTTTCTGCGTACTTACCCAGGTTATCGCTGAAATGGTAAATAAAAGTCGTTTTTGAATTGTACACCAGTATTATAGACACGTGGGTCATCTTCAAGAATATTTGAACGTTTACTGCATGTACAATCATGATGTACACTCAGGTGAGTGCACAACACTGGGTGCCATGCAATCATCAAATGAATGCACGAATATACTGATTTACGGTTACTTTAGTATACGGCTTAGACTATAACATCACATATTATTTGACAAAGCAATGAGAGGACCAGACAAATGGCATTTGTCCTGTTTGTTCACTCGAATGCGTTAGAACTTCCGTGTCTCAACAGGCAGAAGGTGCTTTGCGTTTGGTGATGGTACACTGTGCATCGTAGTGAAAATAATTTGCACAATTCACTACGATGCTTATTGTACTTATCTGGTGAATGATAGCTCACATTGACTCACAGTGACGCAGTGACAAGAAAAAAAGCTAAAAATATGATTGTGTGAAACCTTCGTGTTGTTTTTGAGTTGATAACTTTTTTTGGGAGGGGGAAGGAGGCGTATAGTTTAGGTGTCTAGAAGGGCAAACGATGTGAATGCCTTTTTCTGAGAACCACACTGAGTCGAAGATGGGGAACTGGTGATGAGTAGACCCGCAGTCATAACAGCTGGTGTATCGATCATTAAAGCTCATCGTTATAAAGCAAGAAAAAAACAAAAAAATATATGTTTTGGGCTCATTTTACACAACACATATGGTCTCTTTGTGAAACATTCAGCAAAAAATAGCAAATAGCAGATGAAGGAGAGTGCCTCAATTATGTGAACATCGAAAAAAGGCGAAAATTGGGGTGGATATGAAACCTAGTCCAAATGTCGGCTGCACTGACACCTCATTGTCACGAATTTTCGATGTCTTCAACTCAGTTTTAACACTTCAACAAAACATCATGGTCCGCCATTTCACGGCTTGTGTCTTAGTGTCATGCAGTCCCAGTTAATAAAGATTCAACAGAACTAGTCAGCAGATACAGTATAGGTTGCCTCAATCTAGTGTTGGCACTCGAGCAAAAAAATTCTCTTCAGAAGGATGAATAGATGACCACTTGTGGGGGATATTATTAGACGAGAAAACTTCTCTTTGTAAAGGCACAGAAAAAGCCCCCTTATTTAAGTAGAAACCAGCAAGAGAGAAATCACATTTGCTCAGGCGAGAGCATATTCTCTTGTGGAAATTCTTTTTGTCCCCTTTAGGAACAGGTCCTCTTAACAAATGAGTTGGATTCGCATGAGTAAAAAACTCAATCTGCCTAGGAAGTAATAGCTGTGTAGGTACAAGTAAGAACTCTCTGCGAACCTTCTACGAAGAAAATTGATCTTTTCTTGACTAGGATTCAAGCAGGTCACATTCTCGATGCTTTTGTAGAAGGAACAGAGCTTTGTGTGGTAGATAAAACAAATAAAAAACATTATGAGGACAGCAAAATGCCAGATAATAGTTTATTCATCACTGCTTTAATACACCGGAAAGTTCAAGCTGTACATCCGAACAACGTGAAGCAACCGGCAGTGGCCCAAGGGGAACATTAGGAACTCGAGTGGCAATTCGACATACCTCATTGAAACATTGCGCTCACTGCAAAGTGTGTATTGCTCAACCATTGGCTATAGGTTAAAATATGTGGTAATGTTGCTTACGGTACCATAAACTTAAAGAAAGACTCAGTAGCTTAAACAAAATCAGAGGCTATAGAGGAAGGTCACGGCTGCAGTTCTTAGGGCTTCGTTGCATCCACAAGGTTTGAGGTGATTTTTTATTGCACAGGGAATATTTACATGACCCAGGACAATTAAATGGAGCACAAAGCTTAGTTAGGACTAAAGGAGGGTATTGCCCAAATAGTGAGAAAGCCAGGACTTAAAGTTTTAAACATAAATAAGGACGCCGTCCGGATGGTATACCAATCAGTATTTGCTTTTTCTCATGACCACCATATTTCTTATTCTCCAAGCGTGAGGTTGCCAACCGGGCACGTCTCTCGTTAACCTGCCTTTCTCCATTTTGTATCCTTCCTTACTTCCTTTGGAAATGGCTGCCAGAACAAAAAGATCACTTGAAGAATGAACTAGTTAACCTTAGCTTCCGTATCTAAGCTTCATCTTGACATACTTTCTTTCCTTGTTATCTCCGTAATGGAGAGAGTTGATACCGTGGTCGTGCAAGCATGGCATTGCAAATGCTACAGTCCCCACAGATCATCATCATCTAAAAGACCAAGGGCGATATCTATAGTGAATAAGACAAGGTATGCGCGCTTATCGTGTCTATAAAGTAACGTAACTATTTCTACGGATTGCAGATAATGAATACAGGTTGGCTCAGTCGGTATACCTTTCTTTCTGCGCGATACTCAGCCACGGCTTAATCTTACACGTCCTTGCTGCCAGAAACGAATCGCTAGGTCGGTTTCCGTCCGAGGTCACTACATTCGGTCTTGCAGCGGGAACAGTGCTTGTGGCCAACGCAATCGTAGCCAGCACTCGCCCTACCGTTAACTCACGCTATCTGTTCGATTGGTTTAACCCTCTCCACAAGGAAAGAAAGCAAGCGGGGGGAGGGAGGGGGCGGAGTCTTTTTTTGCGTGTTTCATTTCAGCCCGTTCGTTCGAACTGGAGCGCTTTATTCAGGCGTGGGCTGATTCAATAAATATTCATGAAGATCGCAGTCTGCACGGTTTCGCAGCGCCGCCAAGCTGTAGATAACTCAACAGCCTGCCATGGCTGCCAGCTTTCGTGGCTCTAATTCATGGCTCTAATTTTTAAGGGCCCCGTAGCCTACTAGGAAAGGTGTGGCCGACCGTTCCTTGAGAGCGTTTATTTTCTTTTCAGTTTGCAGGGCGGTTATTCGAAACAGGGGTGCCCCTGGCGTTGCGGAGACCTTCAGCGTATGTAAATGCAACGGTGGACGCCGGAACGCTCCTGAATCGGAACGTAGTAAAAATAAGCGGTACGCATTGCGTACAGTCTGGAGACTCGCAGGACTGTCGTTATGCCTCACTCTAGGATCAGTCAACATTAATGTGTCGAAAGCACAACGTGTGTGGGACGGGTGGTTATTCATTCAGGGTGGCGCAACATTCTTTTTCTCTCTCCTGGCCTTCTCTCTTTTCTAAATCTTGGCATGAGAACCTTTTTTCTCTCTCGAGTTCCCTGTTAAGAAAGAACGTCCTTGCGCAAGGCCGAGTTAAATTTAACAGTGGCGCGAAGTTATGGCCACACCGCTCCCGCCACACAACGGCAAATAAATTGTTGTGTGTGCGTTTGCTCGGCTTTGCTCCAGATTTTTTTTTCCTACTCCGCCTGGCCAGTGTCCAACAAATGTTCATCGTGGATAGATGAACTAAAAGTAACAAGGTCTCTTACGCATTTGCATAAGAGGACTTGAAGGTGAAAGACATCATCATCATCATCTTATCCTTCACTTTGTTCTCGATATATTGTATTGATCCACTTAATTTTATTGGAATACCTCCGGGCTTACTGCCGTTCGTATGCCCCCGGGATCGACCAAGTGACTATGTTATGGGCTGACGTCACCATGGGCCGTCACGTGATGTGAAGTCAGGGTGGTTTCTCTATGACGTCATCATTATCTAAGCGCTGTTGAGAATTTTCGCATCCCTCATGTTCACGTCGATGCCAACGGCCACTTTTCATGTTTCACGAAGTATCCAAGACGTAATTGGGTAGAACATAAACGTGAAAACTGCTGATTGCAAGCAGAATTTAAGCAGCGAAAGAGCCAAAAAGACAGAAACGTAAATATGCCTCTCTGTTCTTTACATCTGATGGTTTCGAGAACAGATGTCCCTTTCACTGAGGAACATTTTTTCTTCAAGTACAGGTGTTAACATCATGCGTAAAGTATACTGCAATCCTTCGTTCTATTGTTATAGGGTTGTCCTACAATGAGCAATTCCTATATCTGTTCTCGCTGACACAATAAAATTATTTACTTCGTTCCACATACTACAACAGAAATACTTAAGAAAGATAGACTTATTAACAGTAATATATCTTAGAAATGTGTCTTTGTTGGCGTAAACTTCCGCAACGTTACCATGCAAATTTGTGCCCCACTGCTGAGCAGTTTCTGGTTCCAGGTGATTTCCTTGTCCGTGAGGATATCTTGCTTTATCTTCCGAAACTTGTCCGTGAGGATATTTTGCTTTAAAGGTGATTGCTTGAGATTTCTCGCTTCAGTTTTTTTTAAGAAGAACTCGTAATCATACTTAGTTTCTGTCGGTTGTTGACAAATCGCCCACAATTGGTGCTCGTATCACATATGCGTCACAAAGCTTCGATGGAACTAAATCTAACGTGTTCTGTGTGTGCTCGTAAGGAGACAGGATAATGTATTCGTAAGCACCACTTAACTAGGTACTGAACGAAAGCAACAAGGTAAGGAAAGCTGGTTGATTAAGGTGACGGCTGAACGACGTTGTAAATATGTTCAAGGTTAACCTTAGTTACGAATGAGCGTAATCTACAGCCCGGATGCCTTGGACATTTCCTATATGTCGTGGCTACAAGTGGCATAAGCCTGCGCAGAGTTCGCCTTCACGGGGGAAGGCGAAGGTTCATCGCAGTGACCTCCTCTTATTAGACTTCACCCTCCCTCTCTTAGGCGAAAAGGGGGGCTGGTGTCCTCCCCGTCTCCTCTTCTCACCTGTACGCATGCCTGCGACAAGTAGTAGCGTACGTGTTTGCTCGTACACGGCGTGTTTACGCTTGATTGATTAATTGATATGTGGGGTTTAACGTCCCAAAACCACTATATGATTATGAGAGACGCTGTAGTGGAAGGCTCCGGAAATGTCGACCACCTGGGGTTCTTTAACGTGCACCCAAATCTGAGCCCAGACACCTACAACATTTCCGCCTCCATCGGAAATGCAGCCGCCTCAGCCGGGATTTGAACCCGCGACCTGCGGGTCAGCAGCCAAGTACCTTAGCCACTAGATTACCGCGGCGGGGTGGCGTGTTTACGCTGCAGCTCGTCATGACAACCAAAAGAAAGCAGCTGCAGGTTTTCGACTGCTCTAAATGTGACTCGATGCATTGTTCCCGGCTAGCGATGTATGACTTCATGGCGCAGTGAAGGTCTTCGGATCCGGAATCTAGCGTGCAGCTTTTGCGCAAACAATGATGTGTGGTTGGGAAGTGAAAATGATACATTCTCTTTAATTTATTTGATTAAGATGACTCGGAAGCGAAAGCTGCCTTATCATTCTTCTACACGGATTGAAGTGAAAGAGAGAGAAATGCAGAGGAAAGGCAGAGAGGTTAATCAAGCTTGGCTCGGTAGGCTACGCAACACTTAGGGAGAAGATGGGCAACAATAGAAAGGAAAGACATTGAGAAGAGAGAGGAAGAGTGAAAAAACAGGTGGATAGTCAGCTCAAGACTACACAGCATGGTGTGGCGCTTTTCTTTTACGAGCGCTCGTGAAGTGCAGTGGTCCTTAAGAAGCACAAAATAGCTTTCGTGGCTTCACGAGGAGGTGTTGCGAACTTCCAGCACTTCCCCTTCCGCTTTTCTACAATGCCATCGGAATTGGCTCACACTTGACCAAGCGATGTCGTCATGGGATGACGTCATTATGGAACGTCATAGTGACGCCATGAGAGTAAGGTCGCGAATTTCGCCAAGTAGAGGCATCATGGTCGCGTCATAGAGTGACGTGATCATAGGGTGTCGATTTTCGCATCTCTCGTGTTCACTTCGACAGTCACTCTTTGTGTTTGATGAGGCATCTAAAACTTACAGCGCGATAATTTACTTGAGTATCGTGGCGGACGCTAAAGCATTTTCAGAACGTTCACACCCATGAAACATCGTTGGGGTAACTGTGTTACGCGCTAATTAGTATCCTGTTATAACGGAGGCGCTGCGGCGCAATATCCAAGGGAGCCACGTAAACTTAATATGACCACTGAACAATGTCCAGCCAGCAGGAGCACGGTAGTGTTTTTTTTAAAAGCACGCAATGGAGGCATTATCCAGCAGTTTCCAGATTTGTTGCAGTGGTAATTAGGTTCGAGGGTAAGCCGTGTTGCGAAATGCCTTTAGCATTGTTTATCGCGCAAGCGAGCGCACTTTCAAGAGCAATGATGAAATCCCCCAACACTTAAAATGGCCGAAAGCTGCAGTTAGTTGTTAAGTATTCACTTTTTTTAGTCCAGTCTTCCTATAAAGTATCCATCCTGCAACCCAATAAGCCATGGGCGCGTTGCTTTGCACATATAAAAATCCGCCCCCCCCCCTTTCCGAAACTTTTAAACTTTACATGTGTGCATCACACACACACACACACACACACACACACACACACACACACACACACACACACACACACACACACACACACACACACACACACACACACACACACACACACACACACACACACACACACACACACACACACACACACACACACACACACACACACACACACACGCAATAAGAGCAACCGAAAACACACTGGTTGCCATTTTCATAGTTTTCCTTTTGCGATTGCGCTGTTTCTGTGTTAGGTGTATTAGCAATAATTGCATAATTGCATACTAAGCCCTTGTTAAATTTGTATTGTCTGCTATTTTCTTATTCATAACCTTTTAGTATTTTTGATTTGACATTGTGTATTTTCCTTCCGCAATGGTCACGAGTGAAGTCAGCTGTATTGTAAAAATGAATAAATAAACAAATGTGTAAAAATAAACAAATAAGCATATAAACAAAAAATAGCATATTAAAGATATAGATGGTAACTAGCTTCTGCATAGATTTTGTCCCATCACTCATCAAGCTAAGTTACATTGCTGAAAATCGTCTATTTCCAAGAGCAAAGATAATAAAAGGAGGTGCTTTAAAAAGTCGAGAAACTCGGTAGGGCGAGAGCTCAGTTTGTTAAACATCAATGGGCTCAATTACTGGTCTTACTACGTGGGCAGTAGTGCAGTCTGCCAAATACTTATTATTGGCTGAAAGTGCTCATCCATATAGGTTTACGAAATAGGAAACACACAGGGCAAGCGACAACGCTTGGACGTTGGTTGGAAATGATTACTTATTGTTAGGCGGGGGTGTCTTTTCGCTATTCGCGGTTGGCTTTTAAGGCTATCGTGCTTCAAAAAATATATGACATGGAGCTAGTTTAGAAAAAGGGAACGACAAAAGCACAATACAAATAAATAAAAACGCGAAAATATTATTTAAGTTTTGTTGTTGTTGTTGTTGTTGTTGTTGTTGTTGTTGTTTTGCTGTGGAAAGGTTGAGGTCCATATTGCCTCGGCTACTCTATATCACGAAGTTCTGCAGCAAAAAAGAAATACTGAATGGTACCCAAAAATCAACAATCCATAAAAAAACATAACAGCACACTGAAACCAGTTCAAATATCATGCCAATACACAGTTTGCGTACAGCACTTCACATTGTCGTTAACAAACGCGCACACGCACACCTCCCTTTTCTATTGTCAGTATATGCACAAACACATTTCATGTATATCAATCCCTGGCTGTCTATCACAGACGCTTATCCAGTCCAGTCTCCACTAAGAAGTCTGTCAGGAAGATGTTTGCCTTTTTCTGAAGATGCATTTCAGGACATGGTCCAAGTAATTTCTTTGATGTGAGGGGCCACCTGTCCAAACTTGATAATTTGTTCCTTAGTTTTTCTCTTTCATTCACGTATTTAACGTACTCCAAAAGAGTATGGCGAGCACTATCTTCTGTATGACCCCAATGACATTCCGATAAGTTTGATCGATGTATATTGTGCAGAAAGTCTGTAGATTAATGTCTCAAAGTGTCGCGGGAGATCTGTCGCTATGAAAAAATTTCGGTGTGGATCAACTTCGTAAAGAACTGTGCAAGTTTTACTGGTAGAAATGTAAGTTGGGAGCGTACCACGGCTATCACTAAAAAAAATATCTAACAATAGCTAATGCATTTTGCCAAACTTGCACGTGCTCGAACATTCCATTAGGCCAGTCTTCACCTCGCTGCATTACTTATTTCTCCTACTCAGATCCCAAAGCTTTGCACTTTATACTTGCCCGTACGACTTGTTGCACCGAGAAAACAACACGGTAACCTTTGTTCGACCTAGCCCATAAAACGCGTGCTTCCATTACCGACTTAATAACACTTCGGCAAGCTGGAATCCGACCACCACCGACCAACACTTCGTCGACCTAAGCAACGTTGTTAGAGACCCTCGTGCCACCATACATATCCCACGGATTCCAAAAGCCTTACATTAGCCGCTCATCAAGCGAACGCTCTACGCTTGAGCTGGGCCGGCCGGTTCACCGGCTCGCGTTGACCACGTGGTCCCGTTCTCGCGTGGCACGGCTTGGCGAAAAGAACGCGTAGCCTTGGTTCGAAGCGAAGAGATTCAGGACGGTCCTCTCTGCGTCACCCCGAGACGTTGTGCGCTCTCGCGCCGGCCGGGAAAGTGCGAGAACACGGGCGGTGCCGGTAGTGGTTGTATAACGGCGGTCCCCGTGCGAGCCGAGGGGGTTCGTACGTTGGGCGTTTCGCCTTCCATTACAGCCTCTGTTGAGTTTTCGCTTTGTAGATTGTGTTTTGTCCCTCTTCCTGCTGACCGAGAGGTAATGGTGCACACTTTCGGTTGCAGTGAGGAAGAAAGAGAGAGAGAGAGAGAGAGATACAACAGGTGGCTTTGTTTGTACGCCAGACAAAAAAAGAAGTGGTAGACCGGGCCTCTGTACCGCCGAGCTTTCTTGCCGGACCTCGCCTGGTTCCGAGATCACAGTCTGCCATCACACGCCAACCCACTCCCACAATCACTCCTTCTGCTCGCCAACTAACACCCCTTTCCTACGGACAGTTACTTCTTGCCCGTTTTTTTTTGGGCTTCCTGAGAAAGAAGCCTGCGGCGACCATTGGCTAGAGCGGGCGTCCACTTTTGTTTTGTATTGTTTTCTTGTCCGAAACGCCGAGAGGTCGGTGGCCTTCACGTGCAAGCGGGCCGCAATTTGGCGTATAAAAACGCGACGAGGCGTTAGCGGGCTTTCATACTCCTTGTTTTCCTCAGCACTTCCAAGCGGGAACTAACAGCTCCAACAACCATGAACGCCCTTGTGAGTATTTAGCAGAGCCTTGAGGACAAATACACGGAGTCTCTGGCGCAGCTAAAGCAGTAGGCTAACACGTCGTTACCCTTTCGTTAGGCTACGTTTGGCGATTGGAAACACGTCAGTCCGAATTTAAAGCATGTGTAAATCTTCTGGTGGAGGTCTTCCCAGCGAGCCTCAACAGTAACTACGTAGATAGCGAAGCGGGTGTCCTTGAAGACAGGAGATGCGTTCTTGAGGCACGACGCTGCTAAACAGTTAGGAGAACGAGACCTTAGACATACATCACGACCGAGTTTTTCGAATGCTACAGTAACAGCTGCAACGCACACAATTGTGTGTGAGCTCGCTTAGAATATTGTGATTGGTGTCGCGTGTGGGCAATAAATCTGCACCCTTGCAGAAGCATATTGAAGACTACAGAGGTGTTGCTTCTGCAATATTATTCGCAACCACTCAAGACTTATTTCCAATGTTTTCGATGGCTCGAGCGGAACATGCAACGGCCACTTCTAATTTATTGAATACCTGCATCTCCGGAAAAAGTGTAAGAGCATCGGCATGCTTATTGTTTTTCATTAGGGGGATAGAAGCGGGTGAAATGGTACCGCAGTGACCCCGACCCCGTTTTCAGCTCCCTTCTACTGCCACCTTACGATCAAAACGCAGTGTAAAGACGATGCATAAAAAGTGCCTCTATCTACTCCCCTCCCCCAGCCCACCCGCGGTGTATACGCGCACACGTCAGAATACAATATTGCGCAGCATCCAGGCCTTTCGGAATTTCAGCAAACAAAAGGACACTCGTGATTCATTTCTTCTAGCAAAGGATGCACTTGTTTTTTAACTGTCTTCGTCTGGTTCCACTTTATTTCGCGCTCTTTTCAGTCATAATGTAGAGCCAGCTCGTCCAACACAGTTCACAGTCGACAGACTACGGAGAAATTGCATTGATGTTGCTCGATTGTTCGGTTATCGCGTCCATCACCCCGCGCGTTACCTCCACAGATCGTTCTCCTCGGTCTCGTCTCTGCCGCCTCGGCTGGCTTCCTCGGCGGCTACGGAGGCTACGGCCACGGAGGCTACGGAGGCTACGGACACGGCCTGGCCGTCGCCGCCCCTGTCGCCGTCAAGGGTTCCTCCTACTCCTACGGCAACAGCGCCGGCGGTGCTGCCATCCTTGTTGGCGGACATGGTTACGGCTATGGCGGCTACGGCGGCTACGGTGGATACGGACACGGCGGCTACGGCGGATACGCTGTCGCTGCTCCCGTCGCCGTCGCTGCCCCCGTCGCCGTGGCCAAGCCCGTGGCCGTCGCTGCCCCAGTCGCGGTCGCTGCCGCTCCCGTTGTGGCCGTCGGCGGATACGGTCTCGGTCACGGATACGGTTTCGGCCACGGATACGGCTATGGCGGCTACGGATACAAGGGCTGGTAAGTGTATTCGCTTGTCATAAAACAGAAAAAAAGACAAGTTGTTGCTTGAGATAACGCTTCCATTTGTATGTTAGGGCCTGTAATTGTTCGGTCTATGAGCTCCTGTGTGCTGGGAAAGAGGGTGGAGGGAAAGTATCACGTTGAACACTGTGTGTTGTAATGTTTACTGGGTTTCTTGAAAATGGAGCATGCAAGCTTAAGCAGCAACTTCCGGTGGCGTGCACGGCCACACCATACACCACATACCATCGGGCTGACAGCGTTCCCTGTAACTTGCGCGTGCTACCAACCAAAAATCGGGGACTTCTTGTAAACTGCATGTTTCCATTGAACCCTACGTAGCGCCAAGTTTCTTTCGTTTCCCCCAACTTAAGCGTTGCAACAAAGCTTGTGATCTACGTGAGTGTAGCACGAAGTCTCACCTGAGCCCCGGATGAGCTGAACATTGTCAAGAATGACAAAACGTGGCACTCCTGGAATTGGACTAAACGCGCCAGGCCCGATTCCTGATATGAAACTGCGCTCGCATAGATATATATGTGCATTTACAGTTCTCTGATAACTTTTTTTATGAAGCATGTATACGCACACACCTGTTGAACATTCAGGGAAATTTTCGCATGGCTGTAAACACTTGGTATATTTAAAAAAAAGTACCAGGTGTTATTTCCGATAAAAACTTACATATGTATACCATCAATTAATAAATGTTGCTTGAAAAGCAACAGAAAATTTTGTTGTACTGATTTTGTGGCGTGTGATTGAACTGCGATTATATGCGTAACTATGCTGACGTGCTTCTTTTTTCTCTCTTATTGCAGAACAACGAGGTCGTGTGAATTGTCTGGATGCCCTCACCTCATCGGACGTGTCAGCGCGCTGGACAACGCTAGTTGACGCGGCCATAGAAAATTTTTAAATTATACGTACTCACACCTAGGAAGATTGCTTCAAGCTCTTGTTCGTCGTTGCAAAAAAAAAAAAAAATGAAGACGTATTCGCGGCTTGGAAGCTTCGGGAAAAAAGTCTTGATCAGGTCTTACATTGAAGTCCGGGGCGCCAAGACTGTACAATAATGCCTAAAAAATTCTTTTGCTTCGTGTGCAAGGCTGCTTGAAGGGTATATTTAAATAAAAAAAATGTGCATCATGCATTTCCAAATGAGTGTGTCCTGAATGCGTTATATTATGAACCATTTACATACACTACACGCCGCAAGCCAACACGAACTGGCACAATTCTTTTTGCGTGACAGAGCCCATGTATCATGAAATTGTCTACAACTTTCTTCCTTCTAAAAAAGGAGATTAGGTCCTAAGAAAAATAATAACAATCTGGCTTTCACGTATGAAAACCAAGATATTGTTACCAGGTACACCATGGTACAATCCTTAAAAAGAGTATTTTGACTCCTTTCGAGTATAATCCTGATGTGCGACGTATAAGACTCTCTTTAAGCAGGCATGGTGGCTGTCTTTTGGGGATCAATATACTTTCTTTGAAGAGACGTCTGATCCACAAGAAAGTCACTTTGTTTCTTTTAAGAGAGTCATACAGGTGGCAAACCAGGACAACGCGGAATGAGTCAAAGGGATTTTTTTTAGAGTGGGGAGTGCACGAGAAGTTTAAGCCATCTGGGGTTCTTAAACACGCACTGACATCGCGCATAGCACGGGCCTTTAAAACTTTGCCTCCTCCGAAATGTGACCGCAGAAGCCGGAATCGAACCCATGACCTTCGGATCAGCAGTAGGGCACCATAACTACCATACCAACAAGATAATTGTTTAAACTCGACTTGGCTTGCAACCAATAGAGTTTCGTTGAAATACCCTTGCTATTACGGACACCGAAAGAAGGTTCATGGTACTGTTGAGGATGTTAGTTGATGAGTTCGTCACATACATCGTATTTTGTAAGAACACAAACGAGAACCAAGCCACCATCAAAAGAGTTACTTGCATCAAAAGCGTTCTGTCGACCATGCTTTGTCATTACATTTCGTATTATAAATAGTCGGATGACGTGCCGAACTGGTGGATTGAAACAGATCAAATTAGGGCCAAATGACGCTCATACTTTCGGGGAGGCTTTGCCGAGCAGACCAGACCCTTTTACGTAGGCTGTGGTTGGGCGTTGCGTTTACCAACGCCTACGCTTTCCGCATTGGTATGGCCGACACCACAGCCTTTGACTTCTGTGACAAAAAAGAAGCCATCCAACATATTCTTTGTGACTGTCTAGAGTATAGTAGACAATGACTATGCCTTCGCAAGGAACTCAGCAGATTAGATAATGAACCTCTGTCGGAGGAAAGTATTCTGCAGTACCGACAAGCTGCAACTTCACAGAAGAAGGTTCTGAAAGCGCCACCGCCCTTTTTGCGATCGACCTGCCTTTCTGAACGGTTGTAGCCAGAACGCCCTTCCTGTGAGTGTTTTCGTTTTCTCATGAGTGCACGTGCGTTTTTTTTTTCTCTCTCTATCGACCCCCTCTTTCTTGCCCCTATTTCCCCGACCCCAGTGCGGGGTAGCAAACCTGATGCCAATATTTGGTTAACCTCCCGGTCTTTTTTTCTCTATGTATGTCTCTCTATTTCTCTCTCTCTCTCCGTTTCCACCGTCTTCAGTTTGGGTCAAACCGGCATGAATTCGACTCGAACGCGTAGATCTGAGCCCACATGAACTTTGATTCGTCGCGACATGACATGGATATCTCGAGAAGTTACGCAGTCCAGTAACTATATAAAAATATGTCATGTTATAATCTGAACGCAAGTAAAAAACATATACTCGTACATACTTCAAGCATAAAAACTCGGTAACTGCAGAAGAGAATCCGCTGTCTCACAGTATCGCAAATATTGAGAGATGATGCAGCTGCGTCGCGTAGTAGAAGCATGAGAATCAATTTTATTATTTCCCCAAGTGGAAAGAATAGAGTCGATCTGGACTGCTTTATTACCTTCTTAGCGTCCCAAGTACCGCATGCGAATATGTTCAACAGCGGAGATGTTTGGTTGTAATTGACGAAAAGAACAGTGGCATATTCGCAAACCGGCACGTGCTATACGTTCATTCTCTTCACCTTACTCTTTGACTGCTTCATTACCAGAACATGAGTACGGATTTGTCTAGTGTAAGGTGGAGTAATTCTTATGGGTGAGAGAACGAGAAGAGAAAGAGAAAAAAAAAGACAGCGAAAGAAAGGAGTAGAAGGAGATGAATAAAGAGAAATCCTTGGTGAAAACTACTTCTTGACGAGATGGGATTCAAACCCACGTACCAACTGTCTGAACGTGGGCATCGTAACCACTCGGCTATCTCTGCAGTTTAGGCACGCTTTAGCAGAGCGTAAAATAGCCTTCTGTAGTATAGTGTGCAAATGGGGCGGGAAAGTTAAAGGGATGAGAAAAGACGTAAGGAGATGGGTGAGAAGGAAAAGAAGGAAAGGGGAGAGTAAAACATAGCATAGAAAGAAAAAAAGAAAATGAAGAGAAAGAAAGCAAAAAACCGAAAGTAGAAGAAAGGGAATCAAAGAAGGAGAAAAAGATAGAGGAGTCGAGAAGTAAAGAGGCAATTTTAACGGGACGTCAGCACAAGCGGCGTTGACGCAAACCGATAGTGCAAATGGAAGGCCGTCCGCGCCCGGATAGCCGTAACAGAGCCCATATAAAGCTGCCAAAGGGGAGTAGTTGCACATACCCGCAAAATTGCAAAGTGCTTTTGAATGCACAACGAAGGTGTAAGATTTTAAAACGAAGGCATAAAGAATCCGACGTCGAGAAAAGTTTGGCTTCGGAAACGCCAGGGCTGTCGGTGAGGGAGAAATTTTGATATGTGCTCAAAGAACAAGAACCAGAATAAGAGCCGGAATCAAAGACAGAGGTTCCGCGTGCCAATAAAATACTCTAGACCATACCAAGCCAAGGCATGGAAACTACTTGGGAACAACTATCTTTTATGACGTTATGTACGGACGACATCAATTGTGGCTGCAGTGTTGTTTATTCGCTTCAATAGATATGTATTAAACACGTTAAATCTGCACTCGTGAGCCTCGACAAGCTATATTCAAGCTTTGCTCGATACCGGAGGAATACATTAAGAAACGCTAAGTGATATGCAGTTAATAGCACCGTAGCGCACCCTTCATTTTTACAACGTGAAGGTTGTGCTTTGACGTGAGCACTGATGTTACGTTGAAACGTAAGGTGCACTTCAAAGGGGCCCTGCAACACTTTTCGAACATGGTGAGGAAATATTGCTGATCCGTAGTCGAGGCTCCAGAGATGACGTGAGCCAAACATTATAGCGCAGCACGCCCTTTGGAATTCACAATAAAATCTTAAAATCAGCTGCAATTTTCTTTCTCTTCACTCGGTAAATGATGATATAAGGTCAAAAATCACTTGTCTCAGTCATTGTATCCGTGATTGTTTGATTTGAACATAGCACACTTGGTCGTTACTCGGGCTGCCGAGGGAGGCCGCAACTTACTTGTCCACGCACGACCGCGCAATCGCTATGAAAGCCTCGTGTTCAAAGAGAGAGAGAGAGAGAGAGAAAGAGAAAGTTATGAATGCCATGAGGCTCGCGTGACGTATTTTCTTTACACGTGCCACTTCTTCTTGCTTTGCTTCCCACGCTTTCGTCGGGACGAGAGACGAGAAAATGCAACTGCAGTGCGCGACAAATCTTTGTAACTGCACTCCTTCTGGACGGATTGTAAACATTTTCGCGGTGGCACATTCGTAAGAAAATAAACTGACTTAGTTAATCTATTCCATGGCTATGTGTAAACGTGCTGGAGGGCCCCTTCAAGCGCCAGTGTGGCCGACGTGCTGTAGAAGCCCACGATATGCGGTAAACTACTCGATTTGCGCAAACACCTCGATACACCCCACCGCGCTTGACTGAAATCCGAGAAATGGGTGAGAAGGAAACTGGCGGATTATTGCACAATCTTGTTCAATTGGATAAATTTCCTCTTTTAAATTATATTCTTTTTTCTTTTTATTCAGCTTGTTATTATACTGTCGCATTTTACAGTTACTATTTGCTGTTGTGCCTTTTTAAAATATCATTGTATCAATGTATCACACCTGCTATAGTCTCTGCTTGAGACTGCAGTATCAACAAATAAAATAAATAAATAAATGTGCAGCGTAAGCAACCACTCGCTGACTGCTTCGCTTGGAAGTGGAGGAGGAGGAGGAAGAAAGTTTAAGCGTAAAGACAGGGAGGTTAGCCAGTTCTTAGACCGGCTGGCTACCCTGTGCTGGGGAAAGGGGTGAGGAGAATAAAAGATGTTAAAAATAAATGTTGCGAAGAGAGAGAGAGAAATTACAAAAAATTGCGACAAAGGAAAGGTAACATCAAAGAGTATAAGACACTAATGTCTGTCTCTGGGGCCAGTTGTCCGCAAAAAGCGCAGCAAAGCTTTCAAAGCTTTCTGGGCTGAGGATGGGCTCGGCCAATGACCCAGGGTCCTTTGTTCCGACAAAGGCCGATCATCCAGTCTATCCAGAGCTGCAGTGAGTTCTTGTCTTCGCGCGTTGAAATTGGTGCACTCACACAGAAGGTGCGCGATGGTTTCTCCGCAGCTGCAGTAAGTGCATGTAGAAGAGCTGGCCATTCCAATGAGATAGGAGTATGCGTTCGTGAAGGCTACTCCAAGCCACAGGCGGTATAGAAGAGTCTCCTCAGCTTGAGATATCCCTGAGGGAAGACGAAGCTGTAGATCTGGATCTAAGTTATGGAAGTGATTCCCACAATGCGCGGGGCCTGCCGCAATTGCGAACTTCCTCGTGTGTCGAAGGTCACAGGCCATTTTGGAGCGTGTGGCGAACATAGAGGTCGGTAAAAATTGTGAAGCTCACAGAAGACTCACTCGTGAAAAGTAGTTCGTGCTCAGGGCTCTCTCAGGCGACCACTCATCGAAAATTTCCCTGAGCATGACTCACTCGGACTCAAACTCACCAGAACATTACTCAGCCGGACTCACTCAGACTGAGTGACTGTGTCTGAGTGAGTCGAACGATGAATGAGTTTTCCGACCTGGCGAGTAACGACATGCGCTGTGCTTCCACCCGTACTGAATATTGTTACACGACATCGGGAACGACAGAGCATCAGGTAGACGACGACGAAGATGACGTATGCGATCGCTCTCGTGTTGTTGTTGCTGCTGTTCTTCCATCTGGGTGGCAGCTGCCTCTGACTCTCCCTGTATATTTTGTAAATATATTTCTTTCATTCATATTCTCACCACTGTGACATTATTATTATTATTATTATTATTATTATTATTATTATTATTATTATTCATATAGCTGTCTGTTTTCTCTTTCTCCCTTAGTTTGCCGTTGCCATTGCTTGTCCCTACAGGTTCATAGGCGCATAGGTTTGATTCGGTGGTTTCGATGGCTACAGCCTAAGTTGCGCCGCTGTCACTTCCGTTGGGAACATCGGCAACGTCGCCGCATTAGTAGTGAAAAGTACCAAGGGGATCACTCATGAACGCCGCAACTCGCCTTAGTCCGAAACTTCTGAATCACTACTTCCATTATAGTCCGGGTAATAGTTACATGCAAACGTTTCGCCCCGGTATAACCCGTAGTCAGCTTTCCATGCATTCTGGAACTTGACGAAAGAGCACGGAATAGGATAACGTAACACGGCCAACGTTACGGCGCAATCAGCCACAGAGAAGTTGTTTCCAGACTGGTACACCAAGTGATCTTGAGCAGAGTGCCACTCTAACGCAAGTACGGTGTCAGCTCCATGTAGCGGCTCGCGTTTGGCAACGATCCAGGAGGAGCCGAGCTTGATTTCGCAATGTCCAGAACAACGCGTGGGTTGTACTCGGTTCTGTCAGAAGATGCCATTCAAGCAGGATGCAAAGAGGTGGTACCGAGTAAAGGCTACGTCGATTTTAAGTTATGCTAAGGTCCGTGGTTGCTGAGTCGATTCATCGAGAGCATATTTATGCGTATGTACGTGTGTGTGTTTGTGTGCACACGCGTGTTTTTGTGCGTGCATGCTTTCTCCTGACTGAAGCGACCACGATCCTTGTGGTCACTTCGGCACGCCCTGTACAAATAGGCAAGAAAGAAAAGCGAGTGGGTGGACTTGTCCTGTGGACTCGCTGCTAGAGCAGGACATCAGCGATAAGGGATTTCCCCGAGAGCTTCTGTGGTTTTGTCTCTGAGGGTGCGTAGTAATTGTAAATTCAGTATTGAGAGCTTATTCGCTCTACCCTTCTTACCCGCATGAGGGGCACTACCGAAGGCACACGTCCGCAAGGACCGCTGGCTGCGTCGCAAGCGGGGTTTCAGGTATAAAAGCACCGTGCATCGGTTTAGAGTCCGCAATCTTCCCTGGAGTCAGTTATCTTCCTCTCAGTGGGGCAAGTAGCTGTAAGAAAACTGCCATGAACGCTCTCGTGAGTATGTGGGCCTAAGTGGACAAATGCTGGACGTTTTGATGCTACCCTGCATGTGAATCGTTCTGAAGTACTTGGCCTTTTCCCTCGTGGGTCTTTCAGTGTTGTGCACAAAGGAGTTAACCGGAGAAAATTGGCTCAAATCGCACACCATTTATAGAGTGCCGTTTGGAAGCCGTTGTCTACTGGATATGTTCGTGATACTGGTTTCGTGATACTGTGTTCGTGATATTCGTGATACTGTTTTCGATTCCTGAAGTCACACATGTTTTCAAAAGCTCCTCCTTATTTATTTGTAGATCGTGAGCGTAGTCTGTAATGACAGCATTGTGCGAAGTACTATAGTTAAAGAAGGTAGTTCGAAAACGATCAGATAGGTTGGTTTCTCACGTACCCCAGGCCACTGTCGGTGCCCACAAACCTGTTATATTTGTAATGACAAAATGAACTGCTGCCTCTACGGATATCGTCGACTTCAACCCACATATTTATAACTAAAGGTGCTGTCAGCTCATAATGATAGGTGAAATGTGTAATAAATGTATGCAGTGTATTCTACTAGTGGTTTATAGGCAGTCAAGTTCATAAACGAGTTACGGCGTAATGCAGGTGTCTGCAATTAGGTTCTGTTGAATTTCTTACGGCAATATACTTTTTCATCTTTGCTGTACTCAATTATTATTCACAGCAGAAAAATGAACGTGAAACGCAACTACAATGCATAAAACCGAGACATAAAATCACTAATTGGTGTAAAATGGGTCTTAATTCTTAAAGGTATATCTAACAAGTCTGAGAAAACAATTCCACTTGCTATTATTCATATTCGCGGCAAGTGATAAATTTGTTTTCCTCATTCTAGATGCTTTTTTGTGCACTAATTTGTTACTTCGAAGCTGCTACACTCAGGAAAGAAAGTTTAAGATCATTTGCTATAGTATGCCGGTATACATTGTTTAAAAGTTGTCTTGCGTCTTTTTCATTGTGTCCTAGGTTTATTGGATTTACGGTACGCCAAAACAAGTTTATAGAAGGACAGTTCGAACTGCAGTCGCAATTATTGTCTGTTTTATTGAGTTGTGCTCCCAATTACGCCCCATTATTATTATTCTACATGTTCTTCGTTTTTTCACGTCATTTCCTGAGCCGCTGACAAGGATGCACGAACCTGGTAGTCTGCTCTATGAACGCGTGATTTTATCCGGCCTTTCCAACAACGACTAAGAAGAGCAAACAATTTAAACGCATATGGTTGCAGCTTTTGTATAAATTGGCTCGTGTAATTCAAATCGTACGCTTACTTTTCCGCAGCTTACTGTTCTCGTCGGCTCGATTTCGGCTGCTTCGGCGGGCTTCATCGGTGGTGGCCACGGTGCGGTACCCAGCATAGGCTACAGCTCTGGCTACGGGGCCGGCTACGGCTCGAGCTCTGGCTTTAGCTCTACCGGCACTGGTCTTTCCGTCGCTGCTGCTCCAGTTGCAGTCACCAGACCAGTCGCAGCGGTACCAGCTCGTACCTCAACATCTTACGGCACAACGACCACCACCGTGACTACCCTACACGGCGCAGGAGCTGCTGGTCACGGTTATGGCGCTGGTCTTGGATATGGGACCGGTGGTCTGGTTTACGCGACGAGCAGCGGCCTCGGTGGAGCTGGTATTGGGTTCGGTTCGGGCTATGGCGTCGGTGTTGCCGCAGTACCTGGCGTCGTACGCCCCGCTGTCACCGTGACTGCTGCACCGGCTGTCGCTGTGGCGCGTCCCGTCTCTGTAGCCGCTCCGGCTGTGTCAGTGGCTCGCCCAGTGGCAGTGGCTGCTGCTCCGGCCGTTCCCCTGGTTCGTCCCGTCACTTTCGCCGCTCCGGCTGTGTCAGTGACTGCTGCTCCGGCCGTTTCTCTGGCTCGGCCAGTCGCTGTTGCTGCTCCGGCTGTAGCTGTCACTCGCCCAGTGGCTCAGCCAGTAGCCATCGCTGTCCCTGCTGTGTCCACTGTGGCGGTGGGTCCGGCTGTAGCGGTCGGAAGTGGACTGAGTGGTCTTGGCGCTGGTTTCGGTGTCCCTGGAGCTTTCGGTGGTGTCGGTTACAGCTCAGGCTATGGTTCCGGCTACGGCGCTGGCTACGGTCGCGGCTATGGCTCCATCTATGGTGCTGGTATCGGCATGCTCGGTGTCACATACGTCAAAGGAGCCAAGTGGTAGTAAGTGTGCGTTTTTTAGAAGGATATATTTTGTCAGCCCCATGCCAATATTTCATTGCTTACTAATCAGCAGAAGTACCTGTACTTGCGTATAGGTTATTGTATTGTGTCCATTTATTTTCCCCTCGCGATATGCATTCATTTCCCTAAGCTGAATGAATCACGTTCGCTCAGCCCAAAATAGCGGAGCAAATGTGTTTCTGGCAGTAATTAGCGAAACAATACAGAGGAAAATCAGAACGATAACAATTCCCAACGTGTAAAACTTTATGCAGTGACTGGCATCATCCGAAATTGTTCATAACACATTTGGCTCACACAAACCAGGAGGTACTGAGTGCATGAACTCTGCCACGCTGTTTCATTGTAACGGCCATCGCCCTTCAAAGGTGCATGTCGTAAACGTACAAACATATATATTGTTAATTAGAAAGCCGTTTGCTTTAAAGTAACCGCTAATTATTCTGCAGCTTAAATATTTTCACAGGTTTTTCAAGCCCACAAGAAGACACAGCGTTAGTATGAATTGACAGTTTTTTTCAGCGTATCGCCATTCAATTTGTGACCACAGTCATCTAATTTTTAAACGATTACTACGAATACAACCTCATTAGTTACATGGTTGTGGGATATCTAATTTTTTGCAATTTTTGTTTTTTTCCAGAACACCCATGAAACACTTGTTCCTCTTCGACCATCACGAAATATGTACATGGACTTTTGTATTTTTAACTTATTTGAGAACGCACATGTAAGGAGGCATAGAACTTCACACCCTTCAGCTGGGCATATGTGCTCATGAAAGTTACAGCAATAAAAGAAGTTTTGTGTAAGCTCTATTGCATTCTCTTTAATTTGTGGGCTACCCCTTGCTAATAATTAGAATATTGCTTGTAAATGGCGAAACACAAAATTACGCAGCAATAATTTTTTTTCTGTGAAATTTTTTTTTCTAGTTACAACGAGCGCTGTGATGCATGTTTCGTTGCAGTGAAACGTGAATGTGTTTTTAACAAATTTACTTGAGTGTGCTGAGAATGAGCCTGGTTAATTGGGATGCCTAATTATTAAGACCGGTAGTAAAGGAGAACTGTGAAAGAACGTGGCATGATGAAAAAAATCACAACATATCCACAGAGTGAATGACGATTAGTGCGGCGAAGCGTCCGTCAGCCCATCCGTGCTTCCGTCCGTCCGTTCGTTCTTGCTTCCGTCCGTCCGCGCGACCATCCATGTGTCCATCCATGCGTCCGTCCGTATGCCCGCGAGTCCGTCTACCGTCCGTCCGTTCATGCGTCCATCCGTTCGTACGTTCGCGCATCCGTTCATCCTTCTATCAGTCTGCTAGTCTGCCTGTCCGTGCGCCCGTACGTGCTTCCATCTAGTGAACACTCCAAGTACCACCATCTCCCATCTCGCATCCCCAGTGGCACATACCCACTCTAGAGCTGGTATGTGCCACCGGTGCTACGTACATCACGAACAACAAGCCCCATGAAATGTACAGACCTACGCCATAAGGAGCTTCACACCTAAAAAAAGAAGGACCTGGTTGATCCCTCCATCATAGGAATTGGTATGCCACGAAAGTATAACGCGTCCTTACAGAAGTAGCTAAATGTTTACTGTACTTTGGTATAAGAGATCTTGCACAATAACTGTCGGTGTTTGGCAGTGCGCCCACTTTGACGCTTGGTGGTGCATCTGCACTTTGACCACTAATGTCCATGATCAATATTTAAACAAACCCTTGTAATCTTAGATGCTTGTGGTAGCTGTATGGGGACAACTGAATCAGAGAAAGCGCCGTGACAGCCAGAAAAGCGTTATTGATTAGATGCTGGACTTGGGCTTAGGCAGGAAGTGTTGGTTAAGGCGTGTTGTTATCGGAAGTGTTGTTATCGGAAGTGTTGTTATAAGAAGTGTTGTTATCGCGGCGTGTTGGTTATGGAACGCCACTGCCCTACGAGAGGAAAATGCAACGAATGTCCCGTCTACCCGATTGGCCTGCAGCAATTTTTTGCAGGGTGAGCGTAAGTTAGGAATGCGGAGTTACGGCAACGTTCTAGTACACTATAGCCACGCGATGCAGTCATGCCGAATTGAGGATGGGCCAGCGAGGAATTTTTTTTTTCTGAGCAAGTGGGCTGAACACCAAGCTCTGGGCCGTCTGGCAGAGAATGCTGCCCGAGTCCAGGAACTCGAATCCACCACCTGAAACCACTAAGATCAAACTGCCGACCCACTGTGTGAAATAGTCTCTTTTCTCTCTCAGCAAATTTCTCTCTCTCAGCAAAAATGCCAGTATGTGGCACTATGGTCACGAGACTTCACGAAAATTGGCTCAAACGATCTGCGTTGGGTGAGTGCCGAAAAACGCGGCACAAGCCCCTTGTGCTTTTAGATCAGCTGTTGTCACTCGAAGTTGAGAGCCACTTGCGCCAGGCTATTTATTAAAGGTGGAAAGGTGCTCGTTTAATAATTTTGAATGCGTATGCACTACGTATGTCCACAAAGAAATACGTTGACAATGGTGCTATTTTGTGTACTTACTTTTCATTAGCGTCACTCACCCTAGTTTTGACAATTATTACTTCTTCATTTGTATACCAAAACTTTGTAAGCCTCAGAAGGACCCATGCAGATAGTGTTTCAAGGGCAAAATGAAATAAACAATGAAAACAGTGTAAATGTGCAAGAATAAAGACAGTATGGCTCGTAAAGCCATGTCAAAAAATGAGGAGCAAAGCAAAGGACAGCAGATGAAACTTCGAATTAATACCTATGGACGGGGGAGCCTATGCACATGTGCTACTGCGCCAAGTAGTCCGACCGCTTCGACGGGTGTTTCGGTTTCGATTTCACCAGCGCATACTTTATCCTTTGTGTGTCCGGCGTTGACCCAGGTTTCGTCAAGGTAGTATATGGGTCTGGAAGAATGAACAACAAAAATGAAGCATGTCATCTGCAGCGAAGCGCGGCGAATGCAGCGAAACTCGGCTCGTGTCACAATTATTAAAAATTGCTCGCGTTTCGGCTCGCGTTTGCTCGCGTTTCGCTGCAGGTTTCGCTGCTCGCGTTTCGCTGCTTTTCCTTACTTGCGCGTAAACGTTGTACGCCACCTTCTTGGCCTGTACGGACAGCTTTTGATTTGACAACGCCTGGTACGGCTGCGCAGCTGGTGGACTCGCGGCACGCGGTGGTGTTTTCTCCGTAAGCGACGTTAACGAGCTGTAACCGGCTGACGCCATCTTTGACAGTAAGGAATGCGGTGAGGTAAAAAGGCGACGGAAGCCAAAAAAACCCCAAAAAACCTGAGAGAGCGTGAAACAAAATTTTTCTACTGCGCAATGTTTTTATTCACTAATTAAAAAATAAATCCGCGAAAAATGTAAGTGACGAACGGTAAAATCTTAGTTACCCAGAACAGTATACAAACGTTTTCGTTGAGGGACTACATGCTGTGGCGCAGTAAGACAAGCGTGCTTCGGCTCCGTAGCCTTGGCTGTGCTTCCACAGAAAGTTGTCGCGGGGTATAATGTCCATGATCAATAGGTAAACAAACTCTTGTAATCATATATGCTTGTGGTAGCTGTACAGGGAAAACTGAATCAGAGAAAGCGCCGTGACAGACAGAAAAGCGTCATTGATTAGATGACGGACTTCGGCTTAGGCAGGAGGTGTAAGGTCGCCTAATCGTGGCGTGTTGGTTATCGAACACCACTGTCCTGCCAGAGGAAAACGCAACGAGCGTCCTGTCTCCCCGGTTGGCCGGCTCCAATTTTTGACGGGGTGAGCGTATAAGTTGGGAACGCAGAGTCACGCCAACGTTCTAGTATACTCTAGCCATGCGAAGCTGTCATGCTAAAGTGACGATGGGCCATCGATGAATTTTTTTTCTTTTGTCAGCAAATGGGCTCAATGCCCAGCTCTGGGCCGTCCGGCAGGCTGAGAATGCCGCTAGAGTCCAAGAACTCGGAGCCGCCACCTCAAGCCACTAAGAGCAAACTGCCGGCCCACTGTGGGAAATAAAACCTTTACTCTCTCTAAGCACATTTCGCATGCGAAAATGGCGAGTGCTAAATTACTGCTATGTGGCACCATGGTCACGGGACTTCACGAAAATGGCTTCAAACGATCTGCGTTGAGTGAGTGACGAAAAACGGGGCATAAGCCCCTTGTGCTTTTACATCAGCTGCTGGCACTCGAAGTTACGAGCCGCTTGTAAGCCTCAGAAGGACCCATGCAGATAGTGTTTCAAGGGCAAAATGAAATAAACAATGAAAACAGTGTAAATGTGCAAGAATAAAGACAGTATGGCTCGTAAAGCCATGTCAAAAAATGAGGAGCAAAGCAAAGGACAGCAGATGAAACTTCGAATTAATACCTATGGACATTGTACTGAATCTAACAAAATTTTATATTGTCTGATCAATTAGTCATATGTAGAAGCCAGGTACGCAGATTATGTCATTACGAGATGGTGCGACAGAAGGAAAAATATCAAAGCATACATTTTGGTTTCAAGAAAATGTCAAGGATTCAGCATGACGATTTCTCGGTAGCCGTAATTTCGGCGCTATTATACCGTTGACAACGTTGCGTAATACTTAAGGTGAGCCGCAGGAATTTCACCATAAGAACACTAATGTCACGTCAACACAAACGTACAAAGCCTGATACAATTCGCTATCGCCTACAGGCTAAAAGAATGTTGGATAAATTATAAACGAGACGTTCTTCAGGACACATGACCTGAGCAAGTACAGCCGAAGTGATAAATGTTGTGCCGGAATGCACTCTTTGCCACGTCACTGAAACGAAAATGAAACAGTGCTTCACAAAGAACGAAGGCAGAACAAAAAAAAAAACAAAAACCCGCGTCCGATGCTTCAGACATACATGAGAGAAGCCCACTTCATTGAAATTCCCAAATAATAATGGTTCTCTAACAGGCACCTAAATCTAAGAAAATGGGCATGTAGCAGGTCGCCTGTATAAGAATGTGGCTGCCACTGCTGAGATTCAATTTAGTGGCAATGTATCAGCCAAGCGCCACGATATACAGATCACCGCGGCGGGTGACCGAAGTTCCCAGGAGTTCTCCACAGTACAGCACGCTTTACACTCATGCCGTGCATTTGCTGCGTGAAACCCCGGGAATGACTTCGGAGACCTATACAAATCAACGCGCGGCTTCGTCGAATAGGTTGATTCAAGTACTTGTTCCCGGAAACTTCGCAATACTCTTGTTTAAATCGTGCACTCGTTGGAGGTTTTCAGATCATGGCCGTCGATGCAGAGTGGTGCCTGCAAGAAAATAAAAGAATCGCGACTTACAAATAGTTCCTGCTCCCCAGCTTGCGCGAAGTCGCAGGTTTCTATCATGGTCGCGTGGCTCTTGTTCTTATAGCTGCGAAATCTATAAAGAAGAAGTAAAAAATGACACGTTTTGCTTGGGTCAAGAGCATGTGGTCGAATGCTAACTGGTCAAACATAATCACTAGTGCCTCCCTGGATTTAAACTCACTAAACACTAAGCCCTATTCGAGATCATCAAACACAATATAATAGGCATAATCAATACAGGAAGGATGTGTCTCATGATTCTTTAATTTTGAGTTATAGAATGAATGCTGATAATAGTATAATTCGCTTTCGAAATCTCTCTGTAGTTTTCTAAATTTTCGTTGTCCACGTTACTGCAACTTGTGTAAGTTGGTGAGAACGAAGCTTTGGCGTAGTTAGCGTGCAGGTTAATTAATTGGTTAAAAGGAAACATTAGTTTACGAATATTCGCCTTTTCTATCTCTGTTTGCTTTAGCAGCAGCTACTGTCCTAAGCAGAATAACCTAATTTCGACTCCAGCCAGCACCAATTCTAAACGCGCTGGCCACAGAAGCCAATATATATGCAATTGAGATTCACAGAAGTGCAAGAAATGTGTACTTAGAAATGACAATTGATATTTCATGGGGAACGAACTTCAATGAAGCTGAGCGTAGCCACAAAAGCTTAATTAAAAATCATAGAATCTTGGTTCGATTTCACGATTAAACTCAGCTAGGCTGCGTTTCTTCGTTTGGCCCTAGCTGGTTTGCTTGGACCACTACATGCACACAGGGTGGGCCATAGCAATAGGAAATGCAGTTTCTATGCTCTGACCTAAACTGGAAGTAGGACTCTGAGTTTATTGGCATGACGATAAATCTTGACCTTAGCCGGGATTTCAGTGCAGCGTAGAGGTATCGAGCTCTTCTGATGTGGCATTCCGCTAGAGAAACGAGATGTACAAGGCATTGACGGCAACAGCGTTCTAAGAGTAGTCTAAAGTGGTGCAAATTCGGTGGTTTCGTAGATTTAGTTTTAAATTCAGAAGCGCAGAGGCATGCCGATAAGCCCCTGAACAACAACAACAACAAAAAAAATGCCAGGCCTGGTTCATGAGGCACCACCAATTCTCGTGCTTGCGAAAAAAAAAATTAGAACTTGTCATATTCTGCGCAACTTTTATACAACCAATTATCGTACTTGAGATAAAATTAGAGCTTGCCAAAATTATTCTGTGCTGCTTTTATATCATACGACAGGTTTCAATCTTCATAAACCTTCTTTCAGAGATAGATCGCTTGAACGACGTCCTCTGAGGTTGGTCCTATAATGTACGTTTTCTTTAGATCTCTTTATTAGGTTGCTGTACAAGCTCCTCGGTATATTGGCGGTGTCCGCCAGGCAAAAAATGGGTGGGTCATTGCTCAAGATGCCCGCCAACGTGATTGTCTGTCACCTTGGCCACTAGATTTTGGTTGTCGTATATAAGGAGCCAGATAGCTATCATTTGGTGGCGAACATTTCTAGTCACTGAAAACGCTGTCCCAGCGACGGTAACTGAGGGGGCACCATAGAGACTTTCATCAGTACCTAGCTTGAAAAAAAAAGCTGCATTTGGGTACAACTGCATGAGGAATGTACTCAAGCAAGAACCTCCCTCTCTGATGCCCCTGCCACTGCTGCATACGAATAGATTAAATGCAGAATTACAGTGACAGCATTCAGTGTCTGTCAACCTATTGCAATTAGAATTCTATAGCACATTTAAAAGAACCAGTTAGCAATTTAGGGGCAAATATACGCAACAAAATACCTCTTTTCTGGTTTTCTTATCGTACGTCTGAGATGACACTTTAAAACCAATCATTCTTGACGCACTAATGGGATACTGCTTCGATTTCCGTGGTGCGCATAATTGTCCTTCCTCACTGTCCACTGCACTGATTTACTCTCATGGATTAGTGCCCCAATTAGTTGTAATCGTGACTTCACCAGTCACATGCACCATTTAGCGCACCTATGCGGAACATGCTGTTAACTTCTTAGCTCTTTTTTCTTTTGTCTGTTATGGTATCGTCTTACTCCTGTACGAGGTGTCATTACGCGTAACCTTCTATTTATTATTATTCCTGCTTTGCATACTCCTGAACACAATTCAAAAGACGCTGTAAGGGTACTAAGATTGCGCAGAATGTACTACAGTAAACATATTAATGCACAGGCTGTACAAATTATTATAAAAATTTTCAAACACGACCGACAACATCGGTAATGGGCTTACTTCTGAAAGTTAACTTATTATTAGTAGGCATTTCTACTGTAAACTCGGATACGGAAGAATAAAAATTTGTTTTCGCACATGTCTTCAATCATTAGTCAGATTCCTATAGTTATCGCAAAAAAATCATAAGGTTGGAGGCATCGAAAGCACGTAGTCATAGCCTGCGTGAGCTCCATTTGTCAACTTGTGGTGACCTCAACTCTTTGACAGATCACTATGGTCCTGATCGCCTGTATTTCCGCCACCTCTGCCATTGTCATCGGTCGAGATGTTAGCTCAGGTCGTACCGTGGCTGTGGTCCCTCTCGCTGTCGTGAAACTGGCCCCTGCCTCCATAACAATCGTTCAAGGCAGATGGAGCTGGTGTCGTCGGTAAAGCAGCAAGTAAACTCGTATACAGAGCCATTTTCGGACCCAGAGGAGCTGGCTTAAAGTCAAGTACTGGCTACGGGTCCAGCGTCAGCACCGGAGGAGCTTCTAAGTTCGGTGCTGGTTACGGATATAACGTTGGCATCGGACGAGCTCTCAAGTCCAGCTCTGGCTACAGTTAAGGCCGCTCCGAATATCTAGGAGCGAGCTCATAATCTGGTACTGGCTATGGCCCTGGTACTTTCGGCTATGGAGGACCAGGCATGAATTCAGGCTATGGCTTTGGAACCAGTTCGAACTCAGATGTTGGCTACGGCGACAGTGCCTTTGGGTACGGGGCAGCTGGTTTTAAGCTTGGCGCTGTTTATGCACCTCCTGCTGGCTTCAGAGGAGCTGGATTAAAGCCTGGTGCTGGATACAGACCAAGTGGAGGCTTTGGAGGAGCTGGTTTCAAGTCTGGTGCTGACTATGGAGCAGCAGGATTGAAGTCAGAGGCCGGCTATGGACCCACTAATGGTTTGACGTCCGTTGATGGCTAGGAACCAGTACTGGCTTTGGAAGTGCTAGCTTGAAGTATGGTGTGACCTTCAGGGCTGGATACAGCTCGAGCTACGGTGCTGGTGTTCTCATTTACGGAGGAGCTACTTTGATGATCGGTGCTGGTTACACTCCTGCTGTTGGTTTCGGAGGAGTCGGCGTCAATGCTGCTGCTGGATACAGGCTTAGCGTTGGTTTGTAGTCTAGTGTGGGCTTCGGTGCTGCATACGGCCAGGGATATGGTCCTGGCATCTTTGCCTATGGAAGTGCTGGTTTGCAGTCTCGTGCTGGCTATGGACCTGCAGTCGGTTTCAGAGGAGTTGGCTGCAAAACTGGTGCTGGATACGGGGTCGATTCCGGCGTGGGCTTCAGTGCTGGATATGACCAATACTATAATAGTGGTTTCGGCCATGGAGTCGCTGCTCTGAAACCTGGTGCTGACTACGAACCTACCACTGAATTCAAGTCTGGTGCTGGCTATGGAACAGAAGGATTGAAGTCAGGGGCCGGCTATGGACCCACTAATGGTTTGACGTCCGTTGATGGCTAGGAACCAGTACTGGCTTTGGAAGGGCTAGCTTGAAGTATGGTGTGACCTTCAGGGCTGGATACAGCTCGAGCTACGGTGCTGGTGTTCTCATTTATGGAGGAGCTACTTTGATGATCGGTGCTGGTTACACTCCTGCTGTTGGTTTCGGAGGAGTCGGTGTCAATGCTGCTGCTGGATACAGGCCCAGCGTTGGTTTGTAGTCTAGTGTGGGCTTCGGTGCTGCATATGGCCAGGGATATGGTCCTGGCATCTTTGCCTATGGGAGTGCTGGTTTGAAGTCTCGTGCTGGCTATGGACCTGCAGTTGGTTTCAGAGGAGTTGGCTGCAACACTGGTGCTGGATACGGGCTCGATTCCGGCGTGGGCTTCAGCGCTAGATGTGACCAATACTACAGTGGTAGTGGTTTCGGCCCTGGAGTCGCTGCTTTGAAACCTGGTGCTGACTACGAACCTACCACTGGATTCAAGTCTGGTGCTGGCTATCGATCCACTGCTAGTTTCGGGGGAACTAGTTTGCAGGATATGGGCCCGACATTGGTTTCGTAGGAGCTACTAAAGGAAGTTTGGTAGCCTCTACTAAAGGAAGTTTGATAATAAGTGATGCCTCTTGTGTTCGTGGGAGCATTATAGTAGCAACGACGCGTAGGCGCAAAGAGACAAAGCATCGACACTGAAAGGAAGCCGACAGACCAAGCTGCTGCTGCACTAGAGACTGTGGCGTTTACAGCAGAGCCTGGTTAGGTATAAGAATAGTACAGGAGAACAAAAAAAGAGTGGTTAACTGGAAAGGTGTGCTTTATAGTTAGTAACAAGTATATTCGAATGTTTCATGGTGTCATGTGAGTGAGTGAGTGAGAAAGGAAAGGCCGGGAGGTTAACCAGATATTGGCATCCGGTTTGCTACCCAGCGCTGGGGGTGGGGAAGTAGGGGCAAGAAAGAGGGGTTAGAGAGAGGGAAAAAAACGCACGCGCACTCATAAAAAAAACGAAAACACACACTGGAAGGGCGTCCCAGCTACAACCGTTCAGCAAGGCCGGTCAATCGCAAAAAGTTCAGCAGCGCTTTCAGGGCCCTCTTCTGTGAAGTCGCATCCTGACGATACTGCAGAATTTCCTGCTCCGACAGAGGCTGATCATCTAATTTGTTGAGTTCCCTGCGAAGGCATAGTCGCCACCTACTATACGCTAGGCACTCACAAAGAACATGTTGAATGGTTTCCTCCTTGCCACAGTGGCCACAGGCTGCGGTGTCGGCCATCCCAATGCGGAAAGCGTAGGCGTTGGTAAATGCAACGCTCAACCACAGCCTACATAACAGGGTCTGGTCTGCTCGGCGAAGCCTCGACGGGACTTGAAGACTTAGCGTAGGGTCAAGCGAGTACAGTCGGGCATGCTTGAAGTGCGGCTGATTCCATTGCGATGTGGTTTGCCGGCGAGCAAGTCTGCGAAGCTCTCGTGCAGCATCCGTCCTAGAAAGTGGTAGCCGCAGTTTATGATTTTCTGTGTGGGCTGAGCGGGCAGCTTGATCGGCCCGTTCATTGCCGATGATTCCGCAGTGACTGGGCAACCACTGAAATGTAATTTGGTGCCCTTTCTCAGTCAGGTGGTGTATAATCTCTGCTATCTCTAGTACCAGCTGCTCGTGTGGTCCACGGCGTAAGGCTGATAGTAGAGACTGCAGTGCCGCCTTCGAGTCGCAGAAAATAGTCCACTTGCGCGTAGGCTGATCAACTACAAATTGCAATGCGGCACGAAGTGCTGCCAATTCTGCTGCCGTTGATGTTGTTGCGTGAAATGTCTTGAATTTAATTGTCGTGGCCAACCTTGGTATCACTACTGCTCCTGTAGAGCTGTCCGGCTGAACCGATCCGTCAGTGTAGATATGTGTGGAGTCTTGATATTTCTCATACAAGAGAAGTAGTGTGAGCTGTTTAAGAGCCGGTGACGACAAATTGGCCTTTTTATCGACGCCAGGTATGTTAATATTAATTATTGGTTGAGCGAGGCACCATGGCGGAGTCACAGGTCTAACGGCAGGAGAGAACGAAGTTGGGATCGACTCACCATGTGCGGTCACTGTTTTGCAGTAAGATTTGCATGGTCGGACCACTGGTAGAGAAGCTAGGTGATGTCGAGGGGTTCGAGCAAGGTGTCGTATATGTGTCCTCAGCACTTCCACATTAATGTGGGTCTTGATGAGGTTGTCCCTTGTGATGGCGATAGTCGCCGCTGTTGATGCACTTTGGGGCAAGCCTAAACATATCCGGAGTGCTTGAGCCTGGACACTTTGAAGCAATCGTATGCTTGTTTTACTTGCGTTGGTTAACACAGGTAGGCTGTACCGTAGGAATCCAAGGAAAAGAAACCTGTATAGTCGCAACATAGCAGTTGTGGACATTCCCCAGTTCTTTCCAGCGAAGAACTTGAACAAATGACAGATGCCTGTCAATCGCCTTTTCATGTATGATACATGTGAGCTCCATGAGAGGTCTCTGTCAATTAAAACACCTAGGAACTTGTATAATCTGAGGTGACGTATTCTTTCGTTGTTTATCAGAACGCTGTAGTTATGCATTGGTTTGCGCGTAAATGCCACTAGTGCACATTTCTCAGAGGAAATTTCCAGACCTCGTTGACGGAGGTAAATAGCAACTTGAGTGGCAGCTCTCTGAATTCGCGCTCGCAGCTGTAGACGTGTTACTGCAGACGTCCAAACGCAGATGTCGTCCGCGTACATTGACAATCTGACAGTACTTGGCAGATGCTCATTTAGAGCTATTAGCGTCAGGTTGAATAGTACAGGGCTAAGTATGCCACCCTGGGGAACACCACGGTGGCTGTAGTGTAGCGAAGTGTCACCATCCTCGGTTCTCACGAAAAAGGATCGCTCAGAGAGATAGCTGCGTATCCACTGAAACATCCGACCACCCACTCCTACCTCCTTGAGAGCGGTGAGGACAGCTTCATGTGTGACGTTATCGTACGCCCCTTTAACATCAAGAAATAAAGAAGCGCAGAGACGCTTACGGCCTTTTTCGTGCTGCACGTAGGTGACCAGGTCTATGACGCTATCAATTGATGACCGGCCACGGCGAAATCCCGTCATAGCGTCCGGGTAGATGTTGTGATGCTCCAGGAACCATTCTAGCCGTCCAAGTACCATCCTCTCCATCACTTTGCCCAAGCAACTAGCCAGTGCAATCGGGCGGTATGATGTGAGCACCAATGGTGACTTGCCAGGCTTCAGTAATGGAACCAAACGGCTGGTCTTCCAGTTAACTGGGAGGGTGCCCTCTCGCCACGAGTCGTTGTATATCCCGAGGAGGGCACTCCTCGCACACTCACCAAGGTGACACAGTGCTCTGTATGATATTCCATCAGGCCCGGGTGCTGATGTCCGTCTACACAAAGCCAGTGCTGCTTGAAGCTCACGAATAGAAAAAAATTGGTCCATGGGGTGATCGTGTGATGTCGTGCCACCACGTGAGAGCGTGGAGATGTTGGGATCTGCGAGTTGACCAGATAAGTTGGCACAGAACTCTTCTGCCACGTCGACCTCCGATCTCTGTTGAGAGAGGGCTAGAGCCTTGAATGGAGACCGCTGAATGGGAGATGTCCGGAGCCCTCTTATTGTCCTCCACAAGGAAGAAGAAGACGAAGTGATTCGTTTACGGAACACATCTTGCTCGTCTTTGTGCTTTTCTGGTTTTTTCGCCGCAGTTGTGGGGTCTATCGCCCCATATATCGTGGTGATGGATGTTCAACCTCACGGGGCACCGTCCGAGTCCGGTTCGACCGCTGGGACTGCTTCGAGGAAGCGAGGAAACGCGTCCAGTGAGAGTGAGGACACTGAGCTATACTCCGCATCAAGCGACGAGTCCTCGGACGACGGCTTCCAACCCGTCCTGTACCGCAAGGCTAAACGACGGATCGTCAATGCATCTTCGGCATCAAGCACGACTACCGTGAAAACTGCCCCTCAGCGATGGCCTCACTCTATCCTGTTTGTGCCACTGAAGGCTACAGACAGTCTACGCGGGCTGAACAGGCAAGCGCTCTCTGTGTATCTCGAGAATATTACGCCAAATCAGATCAAAGAAATACGTCTAAACACAAGAAAGAACATCTTGGCAATCGATGTGCTGAACCCACGTGCGCTAAACGCGCTTCAGAGAGTAACGCAACTGGGTAACATCAATGTCAAGTCTATAATACCAGCTGATAGCACCACGTCAACAGGAGTAATTTATGACATCGCCACTGAAATTCCAGAATCGGATCTTTCAGTGCTAATAAAACCGGCAAACGACGATAACGTCATTGTGAATGTCAGTCGCCTTGGTAACTCACATTGTGTGAGAATTACGTTCAAAGGGGACTGTCTCCCCTTCCATGTGAAGGTTGGCCACTTTCGTCACCAGGTCCGACCATTTATTCCAAAACCTATGCGATGTCATAAGTGCCAGAAGATCGGCCATGTGCAGGGAGCGTGCAGGAACTCCGAAGTGTGCCCCCGATGCTCAGAACCACATACCGAGGACAAATGCAGCGCAACCATTCTAAAGTGCCCTAATTGTCAAGGTGCCCACAGTGCATCTTCCAAAGACTGTCCACGCATAAAGAAGGAGTTTACTATTCTTAGACAAATGGTGCGAGACAGCTCTACCCACAAAGAGGCCGCGGAAAAAGTCCGGCGAAGACGACGACGTCACCGTCGAAGATCTTCGCGAAGAACGCAGTCAACTACAAGAAGTAAGCCAACGCATCTGGGAACGGCGCCCACTGCAGGGTACACCGCGGCGAACGCAGACGATGGAAAACAGAAAACAAGTAGATCTCTCTCTACTGAAGATTGGCCGCCACTTACATGCACGCAACTTGTGGAAGAACCGCATCAGAAGCCACATTCATCAGAGCAAGCTGCGACAACAGAGGAGCAGCGGAACTTGGATAAGCAAGTGATTGCTCTTCTACGACCCATAATTAATGCCATTCGCACTGTGTTAAACAACATGCGCACTACGTCAGCCAAAAGTGCACTTCAAGTACTGGACGCTCTGAGTCCAGTACTGGCGGCTCTTGAGTAGATAATGGCCCACCAGCCACTGTCTTTCAGGGAAGAGGTCAAAAAAGCAACAATTTTTCAGTGGAATGCACGGGGACTGAAATCACGCATTGCAGATTTCCGTCGGTTCGTTTTCACTAATATGTTTCCCATCATCGTCATCTGCGAGCCAAATTTATCGAGCGCTATTAGACTCTCCGGATACGAATCCTTTATGTCGGCTTGTTATAGTGGAAACAGCAAGGTCCTGCTGTTTATTCGACGTGACCTGACCTACATTATTCGGCCTGTACCACCTGACAACGATAACCAATATATATGCTTAACAGTGAAGAAAAGGGGTCTTACTGTCACTGTTGTCGGTGCATACCTGTCGCCATCAAGTAGATTTGACCACAGAAGACTAGGACACATCCTATCATCCACTCCTGGCCCATGGGTAATCATCGGAGACTTCAACGCCCACCATACACTATGGGGGAGCCCGAAGATCAGCGCAAAGGGTAGAAGTCTGATAACGTTTGCTTCAGACAACGAGCTGTGCTTGTTAAATGATGGCAGCCCAACATTTTTACGTGGCCCTGGATACAGCAGTTGCCTTGACTTGACTTTTGTTTCTCGAGGTCTTGTCAGATGTGCCGGATGATTTCCGGACATAGAAACACATGGGAGCGACCACATTCCCACATATGTCAAGATCAGAGGATTATCACCTTGCAAGGTACGCGAAACTATCCAAAGAGTAGACTGGACCAAGTTTGAATCTCTCATAGAAGAACGCTGTCAAGAGAACACCTCATTTGACTTAGAAGAGGTGATCAAGTCCACAGTGCAAGACACAGTGTGCACCCTCACATGCTCTTCGAGAGTAACCGAATTTGATGTGGAATTAGAACGACTTCGGGCTCTCCGACGGCGTGCGGAACGAAGGTACCGACGCACGAAAGCAATCGACGATTTACGAATCGCTAGACGTCTTCAGAAGAAGATACAACGCCGCATAGACAAGCTAGAGTCACAACGTTGGGCAGCCTTCTGCGCTTCGTTAGATCCTCGCAAGCCTTTATCATGGTGTCATTTTCACCGATAATGTCATGGCCCATTCACTACTTTGAAGATGAAAGACAGAAAACCCAGTGACTGCGGCTGTGCGTTATGAGGCGGCCGTATCACGATGTCTTCGTGCTCATTCTCCTTTCAGCCTCCAATCAAATCCACCGGATATCGTTTGTGATTTGGCTTAGGGATATGAATGAGTGTCTGCCTAGTAAAACCTAGACCAGCCAAGTTCCTGTCAATAGAGCTGTGCCCTCGCCTTGGGCAACTGAGCGCTACGGGAGCAAATGTTTTATTCATTTCATTCCACCCGAAAAATTCCTGTATTCGAAGTGATTCCGCTATGCCTCCAGGAGTGGAGGCACTGAAAATTTTGTGTAGATCACCTGGATCTTCTGTGACTGTGGGGCCGACCCACCTTTGCCTCCTGCGACGACGTTAGTGATGATATCGTCATGTGACGTCAAAGGATGGCCTTACGAGAATGTCCGAAATTCTGGTTGCTTATTACGTCATGATGACGTGATGAACTGACGCCATCCCATCATGATATTTGCATCACTCGTGCTGATGCTGATTGTAACATTTCGAGTTTGGTAAGGTGCTATAGCACGAAGAAAATAAATAAAGCTTGCGCTTTGTTGCCTACGTTTGTCGCTCCATCATGTGAAAAGCTTACGAAGAAAATGGAGTTCATATACTGTGAAAACGCAGTAAGGTTTGCGCATATTTTGTCCGTCTGAGAAAGTTGCCCTTGGGGAAGTTGCATCATTTCGTGGCGTGTTCGAGAGAACCGTGCAATTATTAACAGTCGCTAATATTTAGAAATATTCAGATGTAGTGCGATGTTTTAGAGTAATCAATGAAAACCTAAAGGAGCAACCACGTATGCAAATATCTAAAATTGAATTAGTAAATTTAACATTTGCTTGCTTCTTCTGCATGGGTGCCGGCGTAGTTTTGCAAACGTTATAGTCACCTCAGAAGAAGCACAACAAATCTGTCTGGCTTCCAGACTGCATATGTATTCACACATGACCACCAGAAGTATGCCTTATTTGAGTGAAGAGACAACTATGCATAGCAGATTCATTTTATTGACTGACGCCCCACGTGATACATTGCTGAGTTTGGAAAATGGTATTATCCTATAAATCTGGCATTTATCCGCCACCTCTGGACAAAATATTGTCTTTTAAAGCGTTGATATTCTCACGTAAAAGCTTCCTGATGACTTGCACAAAACGAATTAAAAACGTCTCTTTTCTCCGAACACCAGCTTGATGAAAGAGCGTCGTTATCGCTGACCATCCTTCGATATTCAAGAGCACCATAAAGAGCCGTCCTTTTTCTGAAACAAGCAAAACAGATGATTAAGCGGAGGTACCACTTTAGCACAAATATGAGCCATGTAATTCAGGTAAAATTCGTAAAATGTGATTTACAAATCATCGCTAAATACTCAGTATTGCCCATAAACGCATAACTGCGACTACATCAATTTCTACGTGGACACAGAGAGAAGCAAAGATTCTTTCCATCATCTATACTCGTTATTCGTTTCGCCCCAAGCCGCACTTGAAATAATTCATTCCTTGAACAGTGGTTTAGAAGCCCTTCGAAGTTGGCATTATTTTGTCACCTTGAAAAGCGCGTTCTACTAGCCATGTTTGTGCGATTGGTTAGAAAGTGAATTATCACGTCAAGTGACATGACGCCCTGCATATTTGTGTTAGAGGTAAATTATTTGTCACTAGATTGGTATTACTCATGACTTTTAGGTGCCCTTACTATTATTCTTGCAATGTATTCCTTTGTTAAGTTAGAAAAAGTAGCCGGGGTCACCATAATGGACCCAACCTCTCATATTTCATCACTTCAATAAACATATAAAAAAGCTACACACATCTGAACAGCCAATGTAAGATATATGTGAGGTTGTGCTCGATTTCCAAGAAAAATATGTAGGTTATGTCTTTTACTTTCAACGCGGCACAAATGAACTTAATCCACGCTACAATGCTGTGCCGGCTGTGGACTGGGGTAGCATTTACGAAGTGATTCAGCCATCGCATTGGCATGGCGGATTCATCCATGTGTGAAAGCTGCAACTGTATAGACACCATTGAACATCTCTTGTGCCACTGTGCCCAATTTGATGAAGATCGCCGGACTCTCAAGTGTGCCTTGAATAGACTCGATGACCGGCCATTTAATGAAGCAAAGATCTTAGGAGCCTGGTCGCGCAGCACATGAGCACAGAAAGCCACACGAGCCCTCCTGAGATACTTGACAGCAACTTCATTGAGGGACCGCCTGTGAAACTCGGCACTGTGTGTGTGATGTGACATGTGTCTATCTTTCTCTTTCTCTCTTTTACTCCCCTCTCCCCCTCCCCATGTGTAGGGTAGCAAACTGGACGCATAGTCTAGTTAACCTCCCTACCTTTCCTACATTCATTCTCTCTCTTTCTCTCCAGGCTAATACAATTTTATACGCTGCATGCTCAAGAAATAACTTCAAGGTAGCAAGACATTCTAAAGCAGAGGTAATATGCCTAGGTGTCGCTATTTTCGTGTTCCTCAAAAATGCATTGAACATGCACCTGCGCACTGTGACTAAAGTAAATATAAATATAAGAATACGAAACATAATGAACTCTTGTTTCTGCAACTGACTGACAGATAAATAAATTCTCACTTTAGACCTCGTAATATTATCTGAAATAAAATCAAGTATGCCCTTCTAAATATTTTATAAGGCAGGTTGTAAAGTTTCCTGAGGAGTCGACGCGCTTGCTTACCTATATTTGAAACAAATTAGGCAACCAAGCGAAAACGTCATTTTAAAATAATCGATGATGCCCTACAACAGAGCGTATAGAAAATATATCCAGTGTGATCCGATAAGCAAACAACGTGTAATCCACGAGTATCTTAAAAAGTAATTTAATATTTCATAGTGATAGAGAAGCTCAACTCACCAGTAGGCACCGAAACCGTTATTGGAGCCGAGTTTTTGAATACCAGCGCTGAATCCTTGGGCATATCCAGCCCGGAAGCCAAAACCAGGGTTGAAAGCAGGTCCCCCGCTGCCGAAGCTGCTGAACCCGTTGCCAAAACCTGGCTTCAATCCTCCGAAGCCTGCACCAAGTCCAAGGCCGGCACCGGCTGCCTGGAGACTCTGTCCTCCAAAGCCGACACTGCCGAAACCATTGCCAGTACCGAAGTTCACACCAGGTCCTCGAAAGCCGAAGCTACCACCACCGTTGCCAGCGCCGGCCTTGAAACCAGCTGCCCCGTTGCCGAGGTTGCCAGCGCCGAACTCGAAACCCGCTCCTCCATAGCCGAAGCTACCGTAGCCGAAGTGGCCACCTGCGTTAAAGCCAGAATTTCCGAAGCCACCACCGAGCCCATTGCCAGTGCCAACGGCCTTGACACCGGGTCCACCGAAGTTGCCTCCACCGAACCCGGCACCGGCCTTGAAAGGAGCCGCTCCGTTGCCGATGCCGCCACCACCAAAGTTGAAACCGGGTCCACCGATGCCGAAACTGCCACTGCCAAACTTGGCACCAGGATTGAACCCTAAGTTGGGATAGCCATAAGCTGTACCCGAAATCAAGGCGAAGAGGGCAGTGGCGAGCTGTGGTAAAGTTGAGAAGAAATGGAAAGACGAGTTCAAGAACGCGAACTGAACCAAAGAACGTAACCGGTTAGCAAAGTTCACTAAAGGTAGACATGTGGGACATGGCCCATGTGTACGGGTTCTCATTGTTTTATTTTTGATCTTGTGCCAAATAGTATCTAAGGAGAAATACAAAATAGAAGTGCAATGTGATGCTTTGTAGTGTTTGAGCTATACGGCCCAAATAACAGGGCAAAAACGGGATGAGAAGTGAAACCGAATAAGGTAGTTGTCTACCAGACACTAGATCAAGCCTACGTGTAGAGAACACGCAGTCTATTGAATTAGTCTTGATAGAAGCAGATTATTTGAATGTACATCATTTCTTAAAAAGAAACATGTTCTGCTGGGAAGATACAAATTCTATTTTTTCGCTTGAGCACCTGGGCTCACGAGCTTGAACACCTCATGCATAAATGCACTCATAGGTTAGTTTTATCACAAAAAGAAAACATTTAGCAGCTTGGTAACACCTATTCCTGCGCATTCGACGATCTAAAGTGGTCATATACTGGTCTAAAATGAACCCACATGCTTCTTAAGGGATAAAAGGGTACTGTCCAAGTACATTTTCTCCACAAGTAGTTTAGAAACGCAATGCAAGTGGCAGGCTTATCACTGGTTGCTTCAAATACAGCAGTGGTTCAGTACAGAACAGTGCGCGGGTGGCCATCCCGAAGAAAAATCCTGTTGCATGAAAACACACATACAGCTTTTCTCCAAGTTCCGTAGATACTCACGATTGCTTTCATGATGTTACCCCGTTCACCGTCTGTGCTTCACTGTGACTAGAGAAGTTTGTGACCAAGACACTGATGACTGGCTCCTTATATACCTGCTAGTCAACCTAAGGCAGGCAAGGAGGAGTGAACAAGACGCACTAGTAAAGCAACTGCCCCTTTACGTTACATGCTGACCATATCTGTAGCTAACGCCGAAACCGAGCGGCCGATCAGTGCTGAAGAAAATGAAGGAAAAAAAATTACTATAGTCAGTGATCAGTTCTTACGTGTACATTCGGGAATTCCTTACGTGGGGAAGGAGTTTATCAGTTACAGAGCGCATGTAAATTGTAACAAAGTGACACAATTGTCCCGTCCACTTTCTTCTTATTAACGTTCCACAGTGGAAAGAAATCCACGAGACCTTCCTATGCATATCTTTATTCAGGGGTGTGTCAAATTGTGCACTCGTATGTGTAAGAGTGCTCTTGCTTCATTTATTGAAAGCATGCAAATTTTCTACTAATGAAGCGAAGGAGTCACCAAAGGTGCACTTCTTAACGTCTTTGCAACGAAGAGTTAGTTGGGAACGCCCTTTTTGTTTCGTTCGTTCCTGTACAGTGGGATCTCATAGGAGAATAGTGGCGCTTCTTATCTGGTCACTGCAATAGTCTAGTTGTGAGCGCTTGCAAATCCAGGAAACTGCCTGGGCTGTTGCTTGTGCATGGGTGCGGACCTGTTGTTCTCCTGGCAAACTCGCTAACAAATTATTAGGAAGTGTTCTAACAATGTTGATCTTCGACGTAGCACCGTTATTATGATTTTAACTCCACCATTGCAGTTTCGGATTCAGGACTTGTATATGCACAGACGCCAAGGTCTTTAATATTCCTCATCGAAGCAATGCTTAAAGAGGAACAGCGATTGACTTCCTCTGTGTAGTGATATTTTATCAGCTCTAAGGCGAATTTGGGCTCGCCTACATTAAATGAACCATGATTAAACTTTGGCACAATACTCTCAATCCTTCACTAGTGAACTTGAGAGCAGCACTGGCGAATGAACAAGCACGAACAGCTCCACAACGATCGGTCCTATCGGAACTCGGCTTGCGATCAGCTAAAGACTGACAACTCTGGTGGACGCATGATTCGAATGCGCTTGTATCTCTCTCCCGCGAGATCCCGTTAGAGTGGGAGGCGACGATATAAAATAAAGGGTGTCGCCCCAATCTGGTCCTCGCCGCTGCGTTAAGGAATGCAAATTTGAAGTCTCGTTTATTACATTCATAAGGTCTTTTCATATAGGAGATAAGGTAACAAGAATGATCTGGCTCAAGAGAATAGGTATTTTGCCACGACCTTCGAAAACTGCACAGGGACGTGCTACGGATTATTTTACGAATGCAGGGTCTAACTTAAAGAAAAAAAAGAAACGTTACCGTAGGGTTATGTTAACGTGTTGCAGTTGTCACATGTTCAGCAACTGATAATCTACTTTTCTGCGCAGCAGCGCTAACATGGCAAAGGCGTTCGCTATAGGCGTCGCAGGTCTGTGAACAGAAATGGGTGATTGCGTCACTTCTAAAATTAGTTCAATCCTCCTTGCAAACCCCGGGCTGGCTTTCAGATATATAAGGACCCACACAATCGTCAGTTGATCGCAAATCCCCTGGTCAAGGAGATCGTTGACGCAAAGATGGTTACCGGAGAAACACCATGAAGGCAATCGTGAGTATGCAACGCCTTATGAGAAAAGGTGCATTTCGGTTGTGATATATCCATGCGAATAGTTCTTTATGGCGCTCGTGGTTTGTTGGAGTGCCGTTGCTGCAATTAACGAAGCGAGCTTTTGTAGGTTGCATTGCGTGCGTACAGTACTTCTTGCAGCCAGATATGGGGACATTCTCCAACCTCAGAAATTCGTGAGTTACTTTTTAACATGGACAAGCGTACGTCTAAAGGGGCTATGGAGTTGTTTTTTCATGAACAATTTATTGAATCTCTCGCAAGACCATTATATGCGAATTGTTTTTAATTTGAGCTGATCAAGCTTTTAGACGAAATCAGTAGCCTGGCAACTCATTTTTTATTGCGATATGAAGTAAATGGACACTGTCGTCAAATTTTTTGTTGTCGCCGTCACGTCTGGCATTTGCATAAATATATATGCATAAAAGGTACTCAAAAGATAAACCGGAAGTAAAAACATTGCGAAACATCCGGTGGTAGATTCGAACGAACTCCAGCATGCGCCATTTTTGCACCGCTATAATGCCGGTGAGTTATTTATACAGGATATTTACCGCAGGTGGTACGCTGAGCACGTAAGGAATGTGAGCTTGTTCCCAATTACACAGTGGTCGCACATTTTTTTTCCATAGTAAACCTATCTTGGGACGCGCACGAAAAAAATTGCCCGCACCTTCCCTCGGCGGAACACTGAGGAGGATGCGGAGCATATAATTGGTTAACGGGGTGTTAAAAGGCGACTTACTTGGGTCGATGGCTAAATTGGTTAACGTGGTTGTGAAATGGGGTGTTAAATTGCGACTTACTTGGGTCGATGGCTAAATTGGTTAACGTGGTTGTAGGAGGAGGTGTTAAATGAGTGAACACGTACACACGTATGCGAAAGGGCGGCGCTGGTCGAAGGGACGTCGATCATTGTGTTTGTGGATTCGTTGGAATTCATTTCACCGCGACCTTGGACATCGCCGTGCAAACCAACCGACGAGCGGCAACTGAGCGATCGAGCGCCGACCTTGAGTATATATACAGCTCGACGGCGCATGCACTGTCAGCTGTTGAATGTTCTCGAAGCGCGACGCCACATGCGCGTCCACTGGAGAATCAGGAGAATTGTAGATGTCGAACGCGGTGTGTAGAGGAGGAAGGGTGCACAGATGGTGGAGGAGTGAAGCACGCGCGGTGTGTAGAGGAGGAAGGGATGCACAGATGGTGGAAGAGTGGGCGACGGCGCGACGGCGCATGCGCGCGCGTCAGCTGTCGAATGTTCGAGAAGCGGTGCGGACGGCGCGGACGGCGCGGACGGCGCACTACAAGGCGCGAGTATAAGATGCTTCCGCATCTAAAAGTGGGCCACTTCTGTACCCGTTCGTCATGTGAAAAAAATAAAAGAGGGAACGCCGGCCGCACCCTGCGTCAGACGCAGAGGTGTCACTCGCCAAACCGCAGTTAAAAAAAAAAAGGAAATATCCGAAAGCATCAGGCTCTCCATAGTCGACACTTGTAGTGCGCTGCTCAAACACAAAGACGAAACAACCGTGACAGTTCGCGCTTGTCCTGTGTATAGGAGCGCGTTCTTTTCGAGCGTCCTCCTTTGTGCTTCAGCAGCGCCCTGCAAGTGTCCGGCTGCTTGCCGTTCTCCGGATGAGAATCCACTTTCTTGCCACATAATTTATTGCTTCGGCCTTGTGGTGAAAGTGGACATAATTTTCAACTCTTTCAATTTTATTTCAATTCAATTTATTATGAATACATTGTGGCGCAAAGAAACAAGGCACCTAAAGAGCACAAGAGAAACAATAACTCCTTTTGTCCTGGTCTTTCTGTGTCTCGTTTGTTTGCCCTGATCAATTTTTGTTATCAGCCTTATTTGCGCAGTTATCCATTGCCGACATTCAGGTGTTATCAAAATATGTCGGTATCCTAAAAACTACTCCCTTTGAGTTTTAGTTTTACCCCTCCATATTTCACCAGGATGTTGAGAGGATTACCTTAGGATTGCATAGAATGCAGTTCGTATTCTTAATGACTCCCCATATTCACAAGGCATCGATATCCGAGAATAATTACACTGGAAGTGGCAAGAGTACGTACTCATAGCTGCGCTCCATGTGGCTATACTTCTATAAACCTTCTACCCACTCTTCCACAGCACTTCGCCGCTCTTCTCGCTTTGGTCTTGGCTACTGGCTACGGCTACCCGAATCTAGGCTTCAAGCCCGGTAGTTTCGGATTCGGAGGACCTGCCTTCAGTTTAGCTGCTCGCAACTTCGGCTTCGGTGCTGCCTCAGGTTTCGGCAACTTTGGCTACGGAGGACCCGGCTTCAATTTCGGCTCTGGATACAGTGGCTTCGGCTTCGGAGGACCAGCCATCAAGCCCAGTTCTGGCTTCGGGGTCGGATTTGGCCAGAGCTTCGGCACTGGCTTTGGAAAACTCGGCGCCAGTTTCGGCTACGGGCCCTACTAGTGAATGTAGATTCCACACTGCTAATATTTGTACGAGATTAATGAAATAAAAAATTTCTCAAGCATTCTGTATATATAAGTGATTCATCTTATTTGAAAGAATCAAATACCAACTCTGGTATATTGCGATTTATTGCTATAATTATCATATCATGGCGATGAAACTTGTTCTTCGATGCTACGCGTCAATGACAACGGCTTCAAATAGGTTTTGAAATGTTGATACACAAAACTGCCGAAACCTAGGGAGCTATGAAGGCTTGCTTTAGAGGACATTAGGATCATCATATATTTTTTAAAGATTGTTGTGAGGTGTTATACGTAATAACTTAACCACATTGCTGTGAATGTTCTCAAGTAAGCACGCTAGCAAGCAAAAGCTAACTTTGTCGTTTATTCTCCTGTTTGTATATTCAATGACAGAGGAGTTCATATATTTACACGTTCAACCGATTCTTCTTACATAAAAGAGACAACACTTCGACAAATTGTCTCAGCTTTTCATTGTATGAGCACATCTTTATGACAGTTATCACTTTCATATTAAACGCACAAAGAAGTGTTAGATCGGTTTAAGTTAGCTGCACAAGTTCGAATTATGAAAGCGGTTAAACTCGATAACTTCTTTGATATCGAAAATAAGCCTCGTATAGCTTTTGGATCAGGTGTTATAATGCTGCAAACACTGAGAATTATGTGTGATACTTTAGTTTGATCATTATTAAACTCTTTAACAAATATGTTCTGCGCTGACCATATTCACCCTCAGGGGCCACAGTGACTGAGTAGTTACGGTGCAGGACTGTTCACACCAAA